GGGGGCATGGATCGGGCAACCCGTCCCAAGGATCGATGGAGGGAATAATAGGCAAAACGAAAACAAGCCGCACGCCCACTGTTCGGACATGCGCAAGGGGTGGTGGATGGTCGGCGATCGGCCGTCCGCGGTGAGGACGTTCGTCCTTGCATCGGGCTTGCGGCTCCCGTCCTCCTGTTCGGTCGCGCCCGACTGGGCAGCGAAGCCGAACGGCCCCGTCTGAATACGCTAGGAGGGCTATGCCATAGGAACCTAGGTACCGAGGAGGAGTGCCCCTGCTTCACTCAAAGAAACAGGTCTTTGTTGTCACGCACAAGTCAGGGATGACCTATGTCAAGCCAAGAGATTCGCGCGTCCGATCATCCCGGGGAAATTGACAGGCAGGTTGGGGCCGAGTGGCAAGGTGCCGTGAGGCCAAGCACTCGACCCTAGTTGGCCACCATGAGATGGGCAAGGGGCAGAGAGACACAAACACGTGAACACGATGAACGTTGGGCGCGTGCAGCGGTTCGCAGGCCGCTTTGGATGCTCGATGCAGTTGGGGGGAAATAACACCGAGTGACTAAGACGGCTCTGTAGTGAGTAACATGTTGCCCGTTCCAGATGCCATTTGTGTTTGCCGCTTAGCCAGGCTGACAGCATCAAGTGTCGCGGAAGTCTTCAGGGGAGCTGGTTGGCGGAACGGGTCCCTGACGATCCAAATCCATCTGGGTTCCAAGACGCGGATTGGCTGAGGCTCATGTTTCGAGATGTATTCCAGGGTAAACCGACAACGCGGCCTTTCCCTTCACGGCGCTTCCCAAGATTGCGTCGCCTCCATGGTATCCAGTTCCGCCGTTTCAAATACCAGCCCGATATCCAGTTAGAGGAACAAAGCCGTCAAGTCTGACATTTCCAGAGTCGACGCGAACAGTCGTCATCACTGCCATGCCACTTCGTTTCACCGCACGTATTATCCAATAGACGATTCATCCCCCGCAAACTTGGGTCTCGATATCGCTGCGCCCACGTTTCCGCTCGTTTACGTGAGAAGGAAGCCGTCCCTTTTTAACCGAGCCCCAGAGTACAACCTTGGACGGCTGCGTAAAATCACCAACGCAGCAACCAAGATTTGCGTGCAATCATTGCCGAGATAAACGCGGGTGTAGGTAGTGCCGGGCATTTCAAAGGAAAGGGGCCCCGCAGCTTAATGGCGGTCCTCATGGTTCATTTTCCTCATGGTGACGCTGGGATGGCAGGGAAATCCCGCTCTATAGCAATCGCGTGCCACACTATAACAGCGACCGAGCCGTTTGGCAGGGTTGAAACATGAAACAGGGTTTTTGTCTTGCCTTTCTGGCGAGGACGGCATTTCGGTTATGTATAGCGTAAATATTTATACGTAGCGATGTATGCGATACAGACGCCTTTTACGTGAGGGGTCGTCGACACGAGATTGCCTTTGTTTTGTTGCTTGGATGGACGGCGCAACGGTCATTGTCCCAAAACAGATCTCGTTCAGGCGACTGCCCTGTGCGTGATGCCATGCTCAATCTCCGTTCCGCCAGCGGAGGATGAGCGCTTAGCTGAAAAAAGGGGTCCGCGGGTTGTCTCCAAACGGAGGTTTAATCGGGTTCATTGAGGACTGGGACTGCCCCAACAGTGACATGAAATCGCCACAAAAAGCCTTACGGACAGCCTCGCCGGGTTGCAAGAGAGGGCACAGGGGGCGTCAGGGGAGCCAGCAGCAGGGCCAGGCACGGACATTGAGATCTCATTCCCAAGCTGCATCTGTCACACCGCCTCGTCACCTGCACGCTGCAAGGGACGCAACGGTTGCAGCGCACGTACCCGGCATGGAGGCTAGAGGTGGTGTGGACACCGCTAGCTGAATGCAGGTCGTTACAGGGGCAGAGGCAAAAAAAAGAAAAGAAAAAAAGCCCGCCCGCCATGCTTGGGTAGCCCACGAAGCAGCAGGTTCCGATGCCCTAAACTCGGCCACTCTGGAACGGCCGGAGTCCTGCGGGCACGACTTGTCGGCGACGGCTACCTCTTCTGGACGTTGAGCCAGGGTCAAGGGGCAAGGGCCACATTCGGAGAGGCGGCATAAACACAGGAACTAGCCCTAGTATTGTGTTTGCCCAGTGTGGTGACTGTTGATGGAAGCGCACGTCCTTAATTTAGTGTAGCATTTTGGGTCAAGCTGAAAGGAGATCTGAACCATTCGCTCAGAAAAAAGGGGGGCGAGCAATCAACTAGGCCGCCGGCAACTGGCCGGGGTTCATAGATTGGGCGAGATGATATTGAAGATAAAGATCGGCTAATTCTAGTGTGTAGATCGGCGCATACAGTGAGCGCAAACGCTTGTTCGAACGCGACAGATCAATGGCGAGCCCTTCCAGTGTCATCAATGTTTTCGACAGGAAAAAAAAAACCAGCAGCACAGGCAAACCCCAAGAATTGAGAATGCGGCCGATCATGCTGATTGGCCCCACGCCGGCGAGGGATCTGGCGGCGAGAGTAACAGGGGCTTGAGGGGCTAGGGTGGAGTTTGCGCCACGAGCCCACCAAAATTGACCCGAGCAGGTGTGCGCTGCCCATGCCCATGCGGCCGGTTCTGGCGGCAGTGGCAGTGGTTGAGGGCACGTCTCTGGGAGATTGCGCCGAGGGGTTGGGAGAATCAACGGCTCCCTTGCAGGGCGGCTTGACTGGACTCGCACGAACGCTGGGATGGGAGGACGGGAGGGGGTGTGCTGCAGCTGCAATCTGCATCAATCTAGCAGGGAAGCCCAAAGAGCACGCGCAAAAAAATAATAATCTGGTGGCTGCTCGCTGGCCTGGCACCCTGGTTCTCGGAGGCCCGCCGCCACCGAGCGCCTTGTCCTGCATGGGACATGACGAATGAATGGGTGCGCCGGCCTAAGCTCGAACAAGACGGCCAACCCATTCCGCCCCGAGGGAGGAAAAGAAAAAGCCAAAAAATATCAGTGCGTGCTGGGCTGTGGACCAGGAAGCTTTGGCTAGTGGCGGGCAAGCGCCGCAGGTGCCCCTGCCGTGGATCGTGGTTGATCATCCATGATCGCCAAAAGAAATCAGGTCATCGCCCGGCCGCCAGGCAGTTCGACATGGCACCGAGACAGAGGCACGAGGTTCAATCCGTAACGCGGAGGTATGCAAGTTCAGTCCTGCCATCACTGATCGTGTGCGAGCCACTTATGATAGCCCGGAACGGTTCGTGTCAATGTCGGATCCAATGGTAGCGCGGTAGGCTGCCGACATGTACAGGGCAAGGGCAGCATGTTTCCCGCCACAATACAAGATGACAAAAAGCTGGCGTCCGGGGGATCAAAGTCCAAAACATTCAATGTTGCACACCATTGAGGCGCTCGCTGGCCGAGGAGCGAATATATCAATAATATTCATGGCAAAGGCACACAAAGGAGAGCGACGACAACAGCAAAAGCAAAAGCGGGCAAGGCCTTGTCATCAGCTGTGTGCCCAAGACAGACCCTAAGCTTCTCGGCAGGCCTCTGAAACCTGGGGGCGCTGATGGAATGAACCCCGCCACGGGCGCGCGCATCCCTGTCCACCATAATGTCCCGTAAGATTCGATGGGATGCGGGAGCACTGCAGGCCGCTCCGCCCGGGCGTGTGCCCGCAGACAACCGTCGGCCCTATCAAGAGCCGGCGATTCGTCCTGTGCCTGCCAGCACACCTGCGTCACCAGGCATTTTGATGTGAGGCTAAGGCACGCCGTGTGTGCTGTATGTAAGAGCTGCGTCGATTATGCGGGAAGCGAGCTCGCTGGTAGGTCCCACGTGGACAGCGCAGCGACCAAACAATAAACATAGGTGCCGTCTGGGCCGGGTCGATTTCATTGTCGGCATTGGGTCTAGACCGTATTGACAACAGGCGGTAGGCATGTGGTGATAATAGTTCAGACGTTCAGACAAACCCAAGGGAGCCGCCTGAATGGCTTCTCTCCATCTCCACTGTGGCTAGCGCTGGGGCTCGCCGGAGAGGGCCGCGGCCTGGAAGCCAATTTGAAATCTGCTGTTGATGGAGCACCGAGGTCTTTGGTATCCTTCTGGCTCCGCTTTTCCCCACGGCAATGTGTGAGACGAGGGCCTTTTGCAGTGGAACCGGTGCTGGGAGTGCGTGTGGTGCTCTGTTGTGGTCTTACCGGTCCGTCATTGGCGACCGAGGGCGTTACATGCAGGATGGAGACGCGATTCGAATGCAATTTAATGTACATGTCCGGATACATTGACAGCGGCAGTGGCATCAGGTGGGTGCGGTAACCCACGATCTAGACCCAGAGCCAGTGTCTAGAGAGTTCAGCTCCAGAAGTGCGATATGGGCTCAGTCGCTGCCGGTCCCAGCGTTCCAGCATCCTAGCATCCTAGCATCCAAACCAGCCCGGCTGGGCGTGCTGGTGTTTCTACCGTGTGGCTATGCGGGTACCTACCTGTATGCAGGTGCACACCAAGGCTGCGCCAAAGCTAATACCGGTGCATGATTAGTGGCAAGGCTTCTCCTTGGTCTGGACATGGAAACTGCATTGCTACCCACTACCTGCTCGGCTTGTTTCCAAGCCTGGCCTTGGTCTCGCTCACTGCCGTACCGTCCGTCGACAGTGTTGGGAAACGAGGTCAGAAACGGGGCGTGTGAGTGCTACTGCACGTAGTCTACGTATTGCTGCACACACTAAATCCCCAATGCCAATGCGCGACTGGGCGTCCAACCGAAGCCAGGTCGTCCATATCGCCTGCTCACCTACTTATCTGCCTACCTTCGCCGGACAACACCGCACAACAATCACTCTACTGTGTTGGCTGTCGCAGCCGCTGCGAGGCGTAACAGCGTGCGCCAGAGAAACGGCAGAGGTTGCGGGTGGGATTGTTGCCATTATATGCGACGTCAATCAGGGTCATCTAGCCTTCTCGAAACCCTCCGATCTGAGGGCGAGGTCCTGCGTTAAGCTCTGACCCCGACCACCACCCCCGTCCACCCCATCGGTTGCCAAGGGGCGCCCATCCCGACTCGCATAGAGGACCATGTCGCAGCTTGCGCGCCAGAGTGATGGCGACGGCTCGTCGGATAACCAGCTGCTTTACTCATCCTCGCTCTCGACGGCCGCGATCGTCCAACCGAGCAGCCCCAGCACGCCCACGCCGAGAGACGCGAACGCCGTTGCCGCCGCCGCCGCCCTGGCCTCATCGCCCTCACGGCCGCTGCCAACTTTGAGCTCCAGCTCGAATACTGCCACTGCCACTGCCACTGCTGCTGCTGCTGCTGCTGCTGCTGCTGGCTCATGCCCCAGCAGCCAGTCATCGCCGCCGCACATGGCGACATCATTCTCTACTCGGTAAGGAAACCTAAAATAAAAAAACAACAAAAACAAACAATCTGCAGGAAAGCAAAACAAAAATAGAGGCCAAAAAATAGGCCAGACAAAACGAGGAGGTGCAGAAAGAGGGGGACCAAGACGGCGGCCGTGTTTGTCTTAATCCACCCCAGCCAGCACCAGCAGCAGCAGCACACCTTCCCTGCCCCTGTGCACCCCTAAAATACAGGCTCCACAAGGACTCCATGTTGCGCTTGTAGTTCCCCAGTTTACCAGCCCGTCTGTGGGACGGCCTGCTTCTCCTACTTTTGCTCTGGCCGCCCCTGCTTCCACTCCTCGCCCACCGAATTGTCTGGGTTTAATACATTCCCTGCCGTTCTATATACCACTCAGTCAAGTGGCCGAGGGCCATCACCCATCACGTTCCTGTGCCAAGCGGTGCTCGACTCAGGTGTTTGCCCACACTGCAAAAGAGGAGGAGAGAACGAAGGAGCGAGCTTCTTCTGTCCCCAGTCCCCCCCCGCAACAACAGCGCCCTGCTGTGCGACCTCCCAGCCGGGCACGCGCCAGACGCAACGACGACGCTCTCTGCAGCAAGAGCCAGAACAACCAAGTGCTAACTCACATCACCTCTCGCGCCTCGCCGCAACAAAAAACCACCACTGCTCCAGATCACTTGGACGGCTGGCCCCGAGCCCGCTGCATACCACCACATTCGTCTCCAATGTCGCGAGCGTGAGCCCTAGCCCGACGACCTCCGACTTTCCCTCTCCCCTTCACGGCTTCCCGGCTGCCGTGCCCCAGACTCCCGACTCCGACGTCCGCGACGGCACCTCGTCGCAGCCACCACGAACTCGCAGGAAGCCCCCTTACTTCCAAGTCGACAAAACCAGTCCCTCGGCGTCTGAGACGAGCTTTGGGTGCGTCACTCGTTGCCGGCACATGGACTGGCCAGGCTCTTTGGCCTGCCCGCCGCCTTGAAGCAGCGACCCTTGATGATATCGCTCATTGTTGTTGTGGTGTGGGCTGACGTGTATCTTGATTCCTTGGACTAGCTCGATCGCCCAATCCCCAACCCGTATCCCGGATGACAGCAGGTGTGCCTCGGACCCTGTCATAGCCTCGAAGCCCACAGAAGGCTCAGCTCTCCGGCAGTCCATCACCATGGCGGGCCCGCGTGTGGAGGCGGCCAAGGGCGCCCCCAGGAACTCGTCCATCGACTCTGCCATATCCGCCATGTCTTCGAGCTCCAGCTCCCTCAAGAACGCGGCCGACAGCTCGAGCCCGGCCGACATTGCCAACCTAATCAAGGCCGCCGGGAGCGCCGAGGCTGTCATACAATACCTCCTCAAGGAGAAGAACTCGCAGGCACAGCAAAACGCACAACTGTGGAGGCTGGTGGACAAGCAAAGAGCAATGATCTTGGGCCTAAATAAGGACCTGGAACGGGCCCTTAAGGACAAGGAAAAGTACCGCAAGAAGCTCAAGGAGGTCGTGGGCACGCCTCAGGTTCCTCCACTGCCTCCCGTTCTGCCACAACAGATGAGAGGGGCTCCTTCAGAAAGCTTGTCTCGTGCATCCGAGGGCACCGAAATGCCGCCCAAACTTTCCATACCTGTATCCCCCACGATCGACTCCGACAGCATCAAACATTCGCCCGTAGAGGTCGCACTCGCTCCATACCCAATCACTCCTCCCGCAGACCATCCAATGGCTGGCATCCAGTCGGCCGTTGGGGATCTCCTCGATCCCATGCACCTGATGCCAAAACCCGAGGAGCACGCACTCGACCAGTTCAACGTAGATCAGGAAGAGCACGATGCCGATCTGGTCCAAAAGGAAGCCGACGAGCTTTCAGACCTGCCCATTAACCTCACATTACCCCCGTCACGAACCCCTCCAAGCGCGCCACCTCGCGGACCGCCACCTCGCGGACCGCCACCTAGGCCACCAGTCCCCGCAGAGACTGTGGATGATGGCCTCAGCCAGTTCCCGCGCCCGCCCGGCCCGCCTCCACGCAGGCCCCCTCCCGCGCCCTTGCAGCTGCAATCACCAATAGTCACCGAGGGGGAAGCATCTGGGGATTCAGACCTGGACGGTCTGCTCGGTGCGGCTGATGACGACGCGGAGAGGAGAGGGCGGCGCAGAACACGCCGGGAGGATGATCAAGAAAGGGTGATAATCGCGCAGAAGGAGGCCGAGATTCGAAGCCTCTCTAAGAAGAGCAGGAAGAGCAGCAGCTCAAAGAGCACGCCAATGTCTACAGAGCCAGAAACGGCATCGACGAATATGCCGGCAAGCCCACGCAGCTTCCCAGCCTGTATACAGGCTGAGCCCGCCTCGCTGGCGGGTGTGCTGAACGGCGGCGACCGCGAGGTCGAATCCGTCTTGATTGCGCCGCCCAAGATCAGCTCTGGCCTGCCCGCAAGCCCGCGCCCCTTCGGTAATCCTATTCAAACATTTGCTTCGCCGCCGCTTTCACCACGCGGCCAAGCCGCATTCTCGGCAACAAACTTTTCGCCCCGTGCGCCGCGACAGCCGATCCCGCTACCAAACTCGCCTCAGCCCACGCCCCCTACCGCCGACGGCCCCGAGTTCAAGCCCAAACCTTTGAATCTTGTCAGGAAGGCCATGGACGCCCTCAGCGGAGGCTCATCGTCGTCGAGCCCGACAAAGATGTCCCGCGACAGCCCGATCGAACCGAAGGAGTACACCGGATTCATCACGGATGAGTATCCGGATCTCTTGATCCCGCCCAATGCGCTGCCTTCGGTTGACATTAAAGTTGCATCTTCGAGGATGAAGCCCTCGCGGGCTAGTTTGCTGTCTCTCACGCAGTTGGAAGAGGACCCAGTCTTCACGCTAGCCATCTTCTCCCGCGCCGACGGCCAGGAGCTATGGAGGGTAGAGAAGGACTCATTTTCGCTTGCCAAGCTGGATCAGCGGCTGAAGCAATGCCCTGCCTTCACAGCCAAGACGCCTGACAGGTCACTGTTTAGTGGACACGCTCCTGCCAAGCTAGATGCCCGGCGTCTCGCGCTCGACCAGTATCTCGACGACCTGCTCAATACCCCCCTGGACACAGCCACTGCCGTGGAGCTGTGCAAGTATCTCTCGACCAACACGCTGCCCCCCAACGCCGACGAGACAGGCGCGGTTGAGGTTGTCGCCGATAGCTCCCGGCCGCTCAAGACGGGCCCCGGGGGACGGCCGTTCCGGAACGGGTATCTGACAAAGCGAGGGAAGAACTTCGGCGGGTGGAAGGCACGTTTCTTCTGTCTTGAAGGCCCGCAGTTGAGATATTACGAGACGCCCGGCGGCGCCCATCTCGGCGCCATCAAGCTGCAGAACGCACAGATCGGAAAGCAGTCACAGAGCAGCGACAATGCCTCGCCGGCTCGGTCTACGGGTGGGGGCGACGAAATCGACAACCAGTACCGCCACGCTTTCCTGATTCTGGAGCCGAAGAAAAAGGACCCGTCTGCCATGACCAAGCATGTGCTCTGCGCCGAGAGCGATAAGGAGCGTGACCTTTGGGTGGACGCGCTGCTGCGTTGGATCGACTACCGCGAGCCGGACGATGAGGAGGCGTCCAAGAAGGAGTCGTCGAGCCAGAGCCAAGGCGCATCCGCCAGCTCGTCCTCGAGCTCCAAGAAGAAGAAGTCGTCCAGCCGCCAGGAGAAGCAGCAAATAGAGAGCGAGTCGCTCATTGGTGTCAACTACGACACCACACAGCAAGGAGAGGCACCGCAGCAAGGAGCTCAACCCACAAGGAAATCCGGCATCAATGATCACGAAGCCCATTTGCCGACGCCCATGGGCATGAGCTCGCAGTCAGCCTATGCCATCTCGGGGCCGCGCGATCCCCAGCCCATCGCGGACTTGGCCAGTTGGGGTTCCAAGACGCCCGCGGTCTCGGCGCTGGAAGAAAAGAAGGCCCGTAAGCGAAGCTTCTTTGGCTTCTCCAAGGCGAGGACATCGAGTGACGGCAATGACTCTCTGTTTGGAGGGGACTCAAACACAGTACCTGGCAGCAGCGGGCCCAACGGTTACTCGGGCCCGATCAGGCAGGTCTTTGGCGCGCCGTTGGGCGAGGCAGTCCGGTACAACGCGCCTTTTGATGTCAAGGTTCCGCTCCCGGCCGTGGTGTACCGGTGCATCCAGTACCTCGAGTTCAAGAACGCCATCGCGGAGGAGGGCATCTTCCGTCTCAGCGGCTCCAACGTGGTGATCAAGCAGCTGCGCGAGCGCTTCAACACGGAGAGCGACGTGAACCTAGTGACCGACTCCAATTACCACGACATCCACGCGATAGCGTCGCTTCTCAAGCTATATCTGCGCGAGCTGCCGACAACCATCCTGACGCGCGACCTGCACCCACACTTCGTCTCGGTGATGGAAATGCCCAACTCCGCGGCCAAGATTGCGGCGCTCGGCGAGCTGGTGGAGCGGCTGCCACAGGCCAACGCGACGCTGCTCAGGTACCTGATCGCGTTCCTCATCAAGATCATCAACAACGCCGGACAGAACAAGATGACGGTCCGCAACGTCGGCATTGTGTTCTCGCCCACGCTCAACATACCGGCTCCCGTCTTCGCAATGTTCCTGCAGAACTACGAGGGCATTTTCGGCATTGACGCTGAGCAGTACGAGCTGCCGCTGGCCGGCTCGGCCCAGCAGGAATCGCAGCAGCCGCGCCGCCAGCAACAGTGCAACGACGACGGCGCCAGCGACAGGAGCGTGAACATGCGTCCAGGAGCGGCCCCGCGACAGCCATCCTTGGCGTCTTTGGACCAGCTGGCACGACCGTCCACCTCGGGCACCAGCGGGTCGCCACATCGAAACCGCCTCGTGGATTCTGACCGCCAACAGCGCAACACACCAACGCCCCCGCCCATGGGTCAGTACAGGAACGGCGGGACGCCGCCGCCGGTACAGCAGCAGCGGCAGGTCAGCTACGAGCCGGCGTACCTGGCACAGCAAGGTATGCAGACCGGGGGCGTGCCAACGGCGCTGAGGCCCGCATATGAGGGCGGCATGTTTGTGCCGTCCAACGGGTTCGACATGACGCAGCTGCACACGCCTACGGGACCCCGTGCGCCCAACCCGCAGTACGACCGTCCGATTTATGAACAGGCGGGCGCGGCCCAGTACGAGGGTCCGTTCGCGAACGGCGGTGGTAGCGGCAAGAGTCGCCGGGAGAGCGCCGTTTTCATGATGGGCGGTGGCATGACTTCTCAGGGGTCTAGGAGCCGACTTAGGGAGGAGACACACTTTTAAATGATTTGTCTTTTTTTTTTTTTTTTTTTTTTGGGAGGACCTTGTTGGCTGCAATCGCACGGTTGCGGACGGGTACATGTTCGAGGAGTGTCTCGCTCTCGTACAAATCGTCTCCAGCATCATCAGCATCACTTCACTGGCGAAGGGGCGTTTTTTTCCTTCTTTTCCTTACTAGCATATTCACTTCCCCGCTGCTAGGTATCACAAGTTACTTGAATGCCGGCTTATTCCCCCTTCTATTAGTATTCCTCTTTTTCGGGTATTTCAGCCCTTTTCTGTTGCGGGTGGTGTTGGAAGATACCACCACCCGTGATTCTCTCAAAACTTGTCGTCTCGGCGCACTCATGTCCCAGCCGCGAATGGCATAAATTTTACGTTTGTTCCGTATACCACTTGAAAGCTTCATGTTTTTTTATTTGAACTCTTACTCTTTTTGCGCTTTCCTCTTATCTTGTTGCCATAACATGAGCGCAATAGTATTGTTGTTTGTTACCACGATGAGCTCGCTCTCGAGTGATGTTCTTTGCAAGTCAGGTTTGTTGCGTGCAGACGCGAACTCTAAATCACATGACATTTGCGTTATGTTGTCAACACAGCGTGACAGCCTCAGCGCGGTTCTGAATGAATAGAGTCGCTCTTCTAGTGACGGCGCTTCAAGAGTGAGGGCGACCAGGTCGGATTCAGGGAAAATTAAAGGCACCAGATCAGATTGATGAGATGACGCGTGATGCGGCCGGCGACAGCGACAGTGACAGGGATTAAATTTCGAGCACTGGACCTGATTTGCCATCCATCCAAATGCAAATACCCCAGCGGACGTCCAGAGCTCCTGCCCTTGGCGAACAGCGCCCATGTGGCCTAGGCCGGATCGAGGCAGGAAGGATCCGGGACTGTGTGTTCCTGCCTGCCCCACATAAAGAAGCTAAGATGGAGGATGGCCCCCCCCCCCCTCCGTCAGCCTCATGAGCCGCCTGCCTGGTCAGCGTCTGCAAGACTGCGACGCACGTCAACCCAAGTCACGCCACCCACCAACTCTTTGCGTGCCGCCTGGCGCCTCGGCCACTCCCAAACCCCGAGTTTCGGCTTGATGCGATTTCCGCGCTCGAGAAGCCCCGGCAGGAGGCACACACCCGAGCCGACCAACCGCGCGGGCCGGGCTCTGTTCTGATCCGCTGACGTTTCTGTCTTGTTGTCATCGTCTCTGCCCCGTCTCGAGCCCTGCTCTCCTTTCCTCCCTGGAGCGGGTTAGGCGGCGGCACCTAGGGCCCGTATGGGATGGCGGGCCGGCCGAGCCTGAGCGGCTCGTCGCCCGCCAGCGGCGGCGTGAGCCCTGCCAGCAGTGCCTCGTCCAGATCTACTGTGACGCCTACGCCTGCTGCTGCTGGTGACCCCTTCCCCCTGCGCCCGACGGACAGCCACTACCACCACCCCGCCTCGTATACACGCGGCGACGGGCCCGACGCCAGGGATGCGGCATCGCGGACCTCCCTCGACCCGCGGTACCAGCACCATGACCCCCACCCGCCGGCCGCGGCGTCGGCCGAGTCGGACCAGGCCGGCGACCCCAAGAAGCCGCGGGCCTGCGAGTCGTGCCGCGGGCTCAAGGTCCGGTGCGACCCGGACCCGGCCGACCCGGAGGGCTCATGCCGGCGCTGCGCAAAGGCCGGCCGCAGCTGCGTCGTGACGCAGCCGACGCGCAAGCGCCAGAAGAAGACGGACAGCCGCGTCACGGAGCTCGAGAAGAAGATCGACGCGCTCACGGCCAGCCTGCACGCCACCAGGAGGCCCGCCGCCAGCGACGACAACGTCGCCCTGCCGCCGCTGCTGCCCAATCCGGCGTCGCTGTCACCGGCCCTCGCCGCCAAGGCAGGGGGCGGTGCCGATGACCGTGTCTCGGACTCGTCCACGGAGCCTGGTGTGGCCTACAGCAGCCCCACCGCCGCGTCGCAGGCTGGGAGGCGCCACAGCACCGCTGCCTCCGGCGCTGGCCCTGCCGCCGTGTCGTCTTCGGCAACAGCAGCGGTGGCGGCGGTGCCTGTCACGTCTGGTGTCGAACCCCCCAACCGCCCAGCCTCGACTGGCGACTGGGAGCCGGTGCTGAGCGGCTGCCCGATAAGTGCTACACCCGGGACCCACACGCACGTCAACGCCTATGGGTTGGTGCTAGAGAAGGTAGCCACCGATGACGATGGCTCGCGAGCACCGCCAATAAACGGAGCCGGCTGTCCTGCTGGCGCCGCTGCCCACGCACCAGGTCCGGTGGCGGGGACGGCGGCGGGGCAAAAGCGCAAGTTTGCTGCTACTTCTGCTGCTCCTGACGACGAGGGTCCTCCGGCGGCAGCGTCAGCATCCCGCTGGTCTCCCGACCAGATTATGGGATCCGACTACGAGGACGTGGTGTCGCGCGATTTAGTGCCGGCCGCACTGGCGGGCAGGCTTTGGGCAAGGTATACGGACCATATGTGCCCGCACCTGCCGGGAGTCGTCTTCCCGTCAACCACGACCTGGTCGCAAGTCCGGCGCGACCGGCCGCTTTTGTTCTTGGCCATCATGGCAGCGGCCTCGTCCGAGACCCCGCAGCTGCAGCGCGTCCTGGTCAAGGAGCTGATGCAGATCCTGGCCGAGAAGCTCGTTGTTCTCGGCGAGAAGAGCATCGAGGTCGTGCAGGCTCTCCACGTTGCCGTTTTTTGGTACTGGCCGCCCGAACATTTCGAAGAGCTCAAGTTCTACCAGATGATCCACATGGCCGCTGTGCTAGCCATCGACATCGGGCTGGGGTCCCGCAGGCGCGCCGGCGCTCCCCTGAGAGGCCGTCTGATGCCGTGGAATATTCACCAGAACAACCCGTTCCACGGCCCGCCGCGCGGGCCCGGCGGCGGAGGCCTACCGAATGGTCCGCCGCTACCTCCCGGCCCAGGCTGCCCGCGCAAGGCACCACCTCCAGACCCGTGCAGCATTGAATCGCGGCGAACATGGCTGACGTGCTACTTCTTGGCCTCCAACACCTCCATGACCTTGCATCGACCGAATCTGATCCGGTGGACGCCCTTTATGACCGAGTGCCTCGAGGTGCTCCAGTCTTCCCCCGATGCCGCCCCTACCGACGCTTACTTCTGCCATCTCGTCTGGACACACCGCCTCTCCGAGGAGGTTGGCATCCAGTTCAATATGGAGGACCCGACGGCTGCCATCGACTTGGCCGACCCGCGGACCCGCCACGCCATCAGGGGGTTCGAGCGAGAGATTGAGCGCTACAGCGCCGCCGTGCCGCCTGCGCTGATGCGGCCTTCGCTCAAGCTGGGGTTCCACGTGCTCAGCCTCTACATGCACGAGATTGCGCTGCGCAACGAGGATGGTATTGAGGACAACATGCGGCCGGGCATGGGTCCCAGTGCTGGCGGGGCCGCACAAGATGATGGGACCAGTCAGGATCGTGACCTGTCTGGCAGCATCAAGGGCGACACCAACCCTACTTTGCAAGATGGTCGCAGTGGCGGCAGCACCGGTGACAGCACCAACAATATCAGTGTCGCGCCCTTGACGCCGGCCCATATACAGGCTCTCTCGGCCTGCATCGTGGCCATCGACGGCATATTCGACACGTTCCTGGGCATGTCACCCGAGGAAGTGCGGTGTCTCCCAGTCTTCAACTTTGTGAGGGTTGCTTACGCGACCGTGGTGCTCATAAAAATGCACTTTGCCGCTGCTCGTCCCGGCTCCGAGATGGGGCGCGTTATCGAGCGCGAGGACATCAGGGTCGACCAGCATCTGGGAAGCCTGCTTGAGAAATTCCGCCTCGCCGGCGAGGACGACCGGTCCCGGCCCGCGGCAAAGTTCCATCTGGTGCTGTCCATGCTGCGCTCCTGGTTCCAGAAGCAGGGACGGGCCACCAACGCACGCTCTGCTGGGAATTCCGAACAGGACAGCAGGGGCAGCGGCGTGGGCGCGGCGACGGGAGCGCCTGGTGACGAACAGAATCATGCTCCTCGAGCACCTCCTGCTCAAAGTGGCCATAGAGGAGGCCCTCCCCAAACCACTGTCAACAACATCACCGCCACCACCATCTATACTCCACAAAATCGCCCACTCGACGTCGAACCAGCTATGCATCGGCAGCATCGACAAACGGACCAGCCACAGCCGAGCTTCATCGCAAACACGCCACTTCAAGTTCTCTCGGAGCTGGCCGCAAACGACGCCAGGGGCGTAGCCGTGCCCGCGACGGCGGACCGTTTTTCAGGCGGCAGCGCGCCACCCTGGGCGACGACCCCATCAATGCCGCAGGCTTTCATGTACGGCCCCGACGCAGCAGATGCGGCCGCCAGCGGAGGGCGAGGAAGGGGAGAAGGAGAAGGCGCGGCCGGGTTCTCTCAGCATCAAGTCCGCGGCGAGACACGGCAGACGCAGCTCCAGTCGCAACAGCAGCAACAATGGATGGGCTCTGCCAGCATCGACCCAGGAAACTTTGGAGACGGGGTCGTGCAGGCCATGGACCTGACCTACGGCGGCGGCCTGACCCTGTTGGGCAGCGGCGACTCCATGTACAGCTTTGATAGCGCCTCGGCCGCCATCGACGGCGGCGGGTTCGGCGACCTCGCCTCCAGCATGCGGTCCTTCGGCGTCGCCGAGCCGCTCTGGTTCGGCAGCTTTCTGGAGTCGACGGGCATGGACGCTCAGTTCCACCACCAATTCTAATGTTTTTATCCGGCTTCACCACATTTTTTCTACCTGGCTAGTAGGGAGGGAACAAAAAAAGTCGCATTTTCCTTTTGCTAGCTACCTACTTTCGGCTGATTTCCTCCTCGGCTAGCTCATGTACACGGTCTTTTGTTTGCTCCCTATGATATCCTTGTCATGAATTGTGGTGTTTTCATTTGATTTCTGTTGTCGGCAGTTGGAGGATTCTATAGAATGTGTGCATGATGGATGGTAAATTAATGTCACAAAATCGACCCATTTGCGGTTGATCTTATTCTTGTCCCGGACCTGCATGTGCTGCAAACCTCGTGCTGGCTGCCGAACAATCAGACACAATACTAGGCGGCAGCTACTACCTACCTCCCGAAATACGTTTTCCATACGAGTTGCCCATTTGTATGTGCGTATAGCTCAGCCTACCTGCCCTCTTCGGACGCATCCTGGGCAAGGCTGCCGAGCCAGCGTTGAACCACAGATATGGGATACGACCAGAGACAAGAAGGCTTTTGTGCTGGAAAAAGACGTCGCACAATATCCCCAGAAATGTGTGATGATATGCATATTTGTTCCATATATTCGTGTCATTCTCGTCAATATAAACAGCAAAGCGAAGAAAGAGACCACGGGAGAAGCGAGCAGTCTCCAGTGTGCCGACTAACCGTGGCCCCTTGTTCAAACATCCCTTGTTCCCTCTCCCTCGTCGGGAACCCGCTTGAATCCTGCAAGCAAAGGAAACTGACGGCTGACCGAGCACACGACCAAGTCGCTGTGCCCGAACCCCTCGTCGTTGGCAAACTTTGTTTCGCAGCTAGCGTTTCATGTCTCTCCCGGGTGTTGCCCACCTCAACAAAGAAAGAAACCGAGAGAAAGACGGTAAAAAAAAAACAGCCCAAGTGATGGTGCTGAGGAAAGGGAACCCTGGGGAAATCTTGCAAACCCTGTTCGTACATGACCTGTTCCCTCTGGAGAACGCCGGCTGCTTGTTTGTCATGAAAGGGACCGCTTGTTTGGTCCAAAACCTTGTGCCTCCCAATTTATGCGCCATGAACTCCTCATTGTAGCCCTGATCCTAGAGCTGATTGAGAAGCCCCTCTCCTTTTTTTCTTGACTTCGGAGTTGCTTTTTTTTGCTCCCTTTTTTTCTTTTTCAAATCGCTCATCTTTCTCACCCCAAAAGGGAGCGATGGGGATGTCCCAATAGTAATCACAGGGCAACTGTCTTCAGAAGTGGTTGGAAATTGACGCGAATGGTGTGATCAGAGAGAGATTGCTCGAGGTATCGTGGCGGACCAGTCTTGTCCATGAACAAGAATGCTTGTTGAGCGATGTTGAGGCTGTTGACACGGGAGCAACTGGGAGCAACTGTGCGAGCCATCGCTGCAGTAGAAGATGGCCGTCCGGACTTTGTTTTCGTCTTGGCCATGACTGGAGGGCAACGCGGCGGTATGCTGTTAGGCCGAGGCCTGAATTGATGATGATTGGCAAGGCGGGTAGGATGGTATTATGGAGGTTGAAGTGAGCAAGCGGCCAAATGGATCATAGGATCTCTGTCTGGACAGGAAGGAAGCGTCTTGCTCTTGAATCGGCGAAGTGTGGCGAGGAGCCCGGTATGACTGGCCGGGAAGCTCCATCGGTTGCCCAGTGGGGCAATCAGTCCATGTAGAAGTCGCCCTTGAGGATACGCTCCTGGAAGGCATCGGGCTTGGGCCTCTCGGCCCTCGCGGGCGGGGTGTGGGCCGGAGGGGCGGGCAGATCCGAGATTGACTTGGATCGGTCGTGTTGAGAGGCGGGAAAGGCAGAGGCACCAGCACGCGGGGGCGAAGTGCCGGTAGAGCCAAAGGAGAAGCTGGGCCGCGAGCCGGCGGCGACGGTGCTCTCGGCGCGAGACCTAAGCTGCTCTGACCAATTGAAGCCTTGCTCTGTTGGTCGGGTCACAGACATCTTGTCAGCCACGGTTCTGGGGCTTGCAGGGTTCACAGATTGTGCCGAAGCGCGGGCGGCGGCCGCCATGGAGGGCGGGCCGTAGCCGGCGCTCTGGCGACGTCCGAAAGCAGTGGGTGAGAGTGTCGGCATACCGTTTGCTCCGGGGCTGTTTCCCCGTCCTGGTCGTATGTTGCGCATGGCCTGGGCTCCAAAGCTCATGCGGCGGGTGAAGGGAGTGGTGGGGGTGGTGCGGGAGCCAAAGCCGGCGTCGTCCTCGTCAATGGCGCTCTCGTCGATCGAGTCGGAGCCGTTGGTGGACAGGCTGCCGCGACGGAGGCTGAAAGGCGTGGGGATGCCGGTGGGAGAGGTTCCCGAAAGGCCGACAGTAGAGACGGATAGCCTCCTGCGCTGGTCCATGGCGGTGGCGATGGGGCCAGGCATGGTGGGAGTGCCCGAGGCGACAGAGCTGCTCCGCTGGAACAGGTTGGTGAAGGCGGCCGAGGTGACGGAGGGGCGGCGGTTGCGAGACATGTCGTTGGGATTGTTGGGGTCGCCGGCGACAGTGGTGTTGGTGTTGTTGTTGTTGTTATAGCTGGTGGAGCTGTGGTGGGAGTGGTTGTTGGTCTGGTCGTCAGCAGACATGGTGGACGAATGGGCAGGCGGGCTGCGGCGTCTTATAGAGATGGCGATGGCGGCAAGCCGGCTGTATGTACGTGCGGTGGGCTGGTGGGCGTTGTGGGCGTGTGGGCTTGTGATCTTTGTGGGCACGGCAGATGGCAGGAAGTGGTCCCAGTTGCGGGATGGTCGTGGTTCGAGGGTGGATCGAGAAATGGCTTGGGGATGAAACGTGGGCAGATGTTGGGCGTCGGACAGAGCACAAAGAGGCGGGCGACGGCGAGTTATAGGGGGGCAGGTGCTGTGCGCGACGCTGTGCGATTGTGGCTTGGGTGTGCTTGGGTGTGCTTGGTGTCTTTGGGTGCTTTGGGTGCTTGGGTAGGGGTGTCTGTCGATCAATGGACTCAAGTTGGCCTGCCCTGGTCCTGGCGCCGGATGATTGTGGGTGATTTGATTGTCTGCAGCGCTACGCTACGCTACCAGTGCGGTGCAGGAAGGTGCATGTGGGTGTGATGGACAAAGGAAGGTATCTCCCCCGGTACCGCCTGACGACGACTGGCAGAGGCTGGCGCCCAGCTGGCGGCTGCAACTGCTTGGGCTTGGATAGTGCACGTGCAGCCTGCCCTCCATCGTCCCTCCATCGTCAGCGATCTGCGCATCACATCACAGAGCATGGGCCGCCTCGACTCCCTCTTCGCGGACTCACTTCCGTAAATTTCGGCGAATTGGGTGTGCCGCTGGAATGGATGTCTGACGTCGTGGTTGCTGTCTGGATGGGGTACGTGCAATCTCGAAAGACGACAGCCACCGCTCATGGATTGATGCTATCCTGGTGGCGATTTCCAGAGAGTCGAGCTCAGGGCGCACTGATCCGTGCAGGCTCCCGAGCGCAGCACTCGAGGCTGGGAGGGCGGATTGGCGGTTCGGTGATGCCAAGATGACGATGGACGAGCCCGAGGCTGCTGGCTTTGGCTTTCGTCCCTGCGCACATGGAAGTGCTCACATGGAAGCACCGGATGGGACACGATTGGGGTCCTTGACAACACAGCGCTGGCTCTGTCAGCGCCCTTGAATAGCTCGCTGAACCCTGTCTGTGCAGTATTACCGCCACCGTTATTCGTTTGTTCCAAGGGCTCCGACGCACCACATCAATTATCCATCAGCCGAGCACATTCATTCATTCATTAGGGCACATCCATCAACGCACGCACTCGGACAACAGACAAGCTGACCGCATCTACCTGGCACCTGTAACTCTGGCGCCCCTCGGTTGGGCCATCGCCCCTCGTTTCCAATTTTTTTTTTGGGACAACTCTGTGATGTGGCAGTCCAGCAAGAAAGGAGGAAAGAATTGGGAAATAGAATTGGATCGAGGGCATCTGCTATCTGTTGCAAAGGAGGGTGGGAGTGGGGACGCAGCGCTCTTGCTGTGGCAGGGAACAGGGGGCCGGCCCCGGTCTGGGGAAAATAAACGGGGACCCAGTGCCAAGAAAGGCAAAAAAGGTACGCAGGGTCCGTTAGCAAGGGTCTGTGGCCGCCACCTGGCTCACTAACACGGCCGAGGTCGCCTCCTGATTCGCGGGGCCGACATCAGACGTCACCAGCGGGTGCCCCACCTTGGGTGCGCGCGGGTGCTTTTTTGCGGGGTAAGAGGCGCCAAGTTTTCAAGGGAATGGGCGCGAACTAGCGCAGACGACTGGAGACGGGCGGAATGGAACCCTCCTCTCGTCGAATTGATTTCGAACTGACTGATTCGTTGGTTGGGCTCTTTTCTGTCCCAGGCCGTGACACGTAGCTTATTTTGTTCTTGTGGGGGGAGAGAGCAGACCCCGAAGACGGCATCCATTCAGGAAGTTAGCGGGGAGGATTGACGGGGGAAAGATGAAGGCGAGAAAGGTGCATGGATGGGAGGATGTTGCTTGTCTTGCCGCCCGTCGAGAGAACAACCACCTCGTCTCCCAGAGGTTCCTCCTCCCTCACTCAGCAACCACTTCATTCCTCCATCCGAGATCAGACGTTGAATATTCAGCCGAAAAAGCTTGGCATCCATTGTGAGGCTCCAACCTCGCTCTCATGAAGTCGAGATGACGGATATTGGAACCCGAAAGGGACGGCCGCTGTACCTAGGTCTTCATCTTGGGAGACGTGACTTCCCCGCGACAAAAAAATAAAAATAAAATAAACCTTCGCCGCGTCACTGGGCTCGTTTAGACTTTCCCTTGGCCACCCTCCTCCTGCCTTTCACCCTTTCCAGCCCACCCGCGGAAGTCGGCTCGACAGGCGGTCTTGGCGCAGCACTTGTGCCTGACAGGGGGGTTAAAGTCAGGATGGACCCGCGATAACAGACCGGCAGATGGCACGAGCTGCCTTGGCCACGCTCGTGCTTTCTCGCTTCAAATATTTTGGATGGTCAAGGGCAAGCAGGCCTTCGCTGCGACGGCAAGTGGGCCGAGCATCAGACCAAACCCCTTGCCAACCGCCAAGGGGTTGGGAGAGATATGGACAGCATCTCCTTTCCATCGCCTGTCCGTTATCAACAGCCAGGGGGCGGCGGCAGAGAGGCCACGGTGGACAGTACACCCATTGGCAGGCGGTCTGTCTTGTTCAAGCCGCATGCGGACGGGACGGTCTTGGGGCACACACACCCACCCCACCACATCGTGCCATTGGCGCTATCCGTAAATAACCTCCGCGCCTACCAAGCACTGCCAAGCCGCTCTCACAGATGAGGAGGGAACGACCGACGCTCACCGCACGTCGGTTTTGTCGAGCGCTGCCCAAGTGAAAACAAAAAAAAATCGCCCACGTGGGGGATTTACCTCGAGACTAGCTTGCGTGGGAGCCCAAGACCAAGCCAAAGACGTCAATAGTCTGATAAGCCATGCACGAATATTCCATACTAGAGCCTTTCCGGCCTAGCCGCCCCGGCACCGGCTCGCCCTCACCGCCGTCGCTAAAACGAGGGCTAGGGGGCACTTGACGGAAACGGGCTTGGACCGGAATGCTAGTGGGCTCCGTGCCAAATACAAGGGGAAAAGGGTTGGAATAAAGTTCGGTATGTGCCGCCGATCCGGACAGGCTCATAGTTTTATCCATGTTCCGTATGGAAACTCTTGTTTGTGGGCGCAGGGAGATGGATGGTTGCAAAGAGGACCAGACAGGATATGCAAACACGCATGGTTTAGGCAGGCTTGCGTGGCCCAAGTAGCGTCGCACTCGGAGCACTCGGAGCACTCACTCAGGACATTGACATTCGCAGCGTGTGTGTCGGGCCAATACAAGGGCGTGGCCAGTCGGCCATGGTGGCGACGAACTGCATGTTGTTGAGCGAGGAGGGGAGGGAGGAGGAGGAGGAGGAGGAGGAGGAGGGCTGTCGGCCGTCTGGTGGGGGTGCATGCTGGCTGCTGCTTGCTGCATTGCCAGCATGGAAATCTGGTCGAGTGCGACCCCGCCTTGTTGGGGACCCCACCATGGGTGCACCTGCGGATGTGATGCGTGTGTGGGCGCGCGGGGCACTGGGCACTTACTGGCCTCTCCTTTTCTTCTTCTCTGGCTGTTGTTGTTTTGCCTTGTTTCCAGGTGGCACCAGCTGTGTGTCTGCCATGGCAAGGACAAGTCTAGAAGACAGCCGACTCTGATAAGCAAGGTTATGCTGCTACCCTGCGTCGGCAGATGGTCGGACAGCCCCCCTATCAGGTCACGCATTGTTATTGTTCTCCGTCAACAAAACCAACGTCTTGCGATTTCCCACCCCGGGTCGCCGCAGGGGACGTTCGGTTGATTCAACAAAGCCCGATCCAAGCAAAGCACGCGCCGTCCACTTTCCCTCCTCCTCTCTCTCCTTGGGTCTGGAACCCGGCCGACCCAGAAAGAAACCCCCCGTTTTCCTGCATGGGACCGTGCGAGGGGCTGTCTTGCCCATTCCTGTCTTGTCGTGCAGCATGCAGTGGCACTACCGGCCGGGCCGGACAACGACTTTTTTTTTTCTGTTGACTGCTGGCCAATGGAGCACCACGTAGCCACCGTCGCCCTTGAGCACTCATGTTCGCCCTCGTCAGCCTCCCCCCTCTTCCTCCCTCCTCCGGACTCCAGGGCCACCCCGTCCTCACCGGTCACATACGCGCGGCCCCAGAAAGGATGACAGCTGACAAGACCAGAGATTAAGTCTGGGAGAAAGAGAGAGGGAGAGCGAGAAGGAGTGGAAGAAGGCAGCATGGACTGTCGCCATCCATGACCCTCCTCTTTCTTTGCCCCTGTTGAAATCCGTCCTCCATCAAACCAGCCCAGCAGCAAACCCAGAACCCCATCATCAGTCGAGCAGCCAAGCCTGTTTTTTAATTTTTTTATTTAGCCTTTGAGCGACGGGAAAGTCTGAACCGGGTTTAGCAGAGATAAAGCTTGATCGGGCGGCACGCCCCCTGACTCGCGACTTGGCGCGAAGGGCGCGCGACTGTGGAGACCCCTCCCCTCCTCCCCCCCTCCACCATGCAGGTTGCCACCCAGGTTGCTCGCGGGAGGCGCTTCGTATAAGCCGGCCAGTGGGGAAAAAAAAAGGGATGGAATGGGATGAGAATGCATTGTTGGAAACGAAGGTCCCGTGCCAAGGGTCCAAGGTCCGGTTCTTGCCTGCTGTCTATTCTTTGTTTTCGGACTACCTGCTCAAGTGCCGATCCGGCCGAGCCAACATCACCACTACCATTATGAGCAGGCAATGCATGTATGCACATGTAAATTCCATGCAGCATACATGTTTGGTAGATATCTCGAAGCGAGGCGCGGCACTCTCGACGCAACTCGGGGTGGTCCGCCCTCCGCGGAGCCCGCCGCCTTGGCTGTCTGTCGACATCGTTCAACTTTGCATCATGGCAAGCAGCATCATCGCCTCCAACGATCGACGGGCTAGATGCAAGGTTGAGCCCGGATCGAGGTGGTCCAAAGACCAGGCACAGGCAGACTTTGATATTTGTGTGTCGGGTCATAAGCCTTCCCTATTTCTTCTTTTTGCCACGTATCTATCCAACTTGGCCCTTCCGTTGTTATTTGCTGCCCCAAATCCCAAATCGCATCTTTGTGTCACCCTCTTTTCAAACCCAACGTCCCTCACCGGCTTTATCCAAACTGCCGTGGCGCTAACACGGGCCATCCTATCCGTGGTAGTTCCTATTATACCCTCCCCTGCTCTCCCATATTACCTTTGCGGGCTTCTCGACCATTCCAAGCGCCCCATAAATCCCGTGGTCAAGTGAAAAACGCACCTGCCTGGCTATCTGGATGGTCCAACGGCATTGACGGCTTGCAGCGAAACTGAGCAGATAATCGAGATCTCGAATTGCAGGGGGCATGATTAAGGTGGGAAAAAGAGGGGCCAGAAGTCGATCATCGTCCGTTAGGCTGGCTCCGGTTGCACTGCAGGGGTCTTTGCCGTACGATCCAGTGCCGTTTCCGGACGACAAGGCCTCGCTTTCGGGTCCGCCCTCGCCTTGGCCCGCCTCAAGAAGGTCGATAATGAGCCCATGCTGCGGGGGGGCGGAAGGGCGGCAAAACAACCCGCGCGTGCTGTAAATAGATAGTCCATCGATAGTGGGAGGGTGGGCGGTCAGTCGGGTGGGCAGGCAAACAGCGCGCGATAGGTCCCGCTCGATGAATGCCCGTTATTAGCGGTAGTCCGCCCTCCGCCCCTGACTCCTGCGGCTCAGGCCGTTGACCCCGGCGATTCTCAGTAGGCGCTGGCTGGGAAAGGTGACCGGGGCCGGGAGGGGCCCGCCGGGCGCCGACGGCGACGACGAGTCCTGGCCTGCTGCTGCTGCTCCTCCTCCTCCGTCGTACCACCCGCCCCTGCTCGATGGCACCCACGACGCGTACTCCCCTGACGCTTTCCCTCTGAAGCCGAGCCAGCCGAACATGTTGCCCAGCTCGCCCATCCACCACAGCCCCAGCACGATGACGGCCACCGTGACGGGTATCGCGGCGGCCCAATAAGCCCACTTTTGCGACTCGGTCAGCCCTTTGTTTTTGTTTCGACCGCCCGCTCCACCCCCCTTTCATGCGCCACGGCCGGCCCTTCCCCGTCAAAAAAGGTCTGGGGCTTACCTGGGTCAACTCCGTGTCCCTGATGTCCGCCGTGTTAATGCCAAACACCGAGGCCACCGCCGACAGTGGTAGGAATACGACCGTCACGAGGGTGAAGACGTAAATGGCCATCTCTTGACGGTCCTTGTTGAGCTCCACCTTGTTCAGGTTCTAGTGTCATGAGGCGTTGACCATTAGCTATTCCGTCTTTCTTCTCATTTCCAGTACAGTTAACGAAAAGAGCCATGAGAATCTCACGTCTTCCTCGAGCGACTCGGCATGGATCTGGAACTCGTCCAACTCTTGGGCCTTGCGTTGCAGGATTTGGAAGCAGTCGAGCGATAATAGACCGCGGAAGCCGCCCCGCCACGTGGGGGACAGCCTCCAGTACTCGTTGACGTTCCCCTGCGCCACGTCGGCAGCCGCGGCGCCGTAGTCGCCGGTCCAGGTCTCGCCGTCCGAGGCCTCGTCCTGGTACCCGTACGCGTACATGTTTTCCCTCTCCCCCCTGCGGGCCGGGGCGGACTGGTAGTAGTTGGTGGCGTGGTTGCGATGGCTCCGCATTGCGTATCCCTCGGGCGACGCCGGCCCAGGCCCCGGATGTCGGACCCGAGATACGGGCTGATGGTTGTGGGCGAGGCGGCGCGTCGTCTCGTCGTGGTAGCCGCGCTGTCTCGATACCTTGGCCCACGTCTCCCAAGAGTCGCCGGATCTCGAGGTTCCGGGGAATAGGATGCCTGAGATAGCTATCTGCATAACTATGGTTCGCTTGATGATGAGGAGCTCTTGCTTGAGGAGGTTGATGCGGTGCTGGGTGTAGCGATCCGAGGGTTTCGTCGTGATGTCGGATTCCTGTGCCATGGAGTTTAGATGTCAGCGTTGTGGCTTCTCTAGGAACACTTCACAAGATTTCTTCAGTGGAGGCTCATACCAGCGACTGGAGATACTCCGAGTATGTCTCGCTGATGTCCATGTGATTTCCTGTGAAATCTCGGAACAGCGAGAGCCCAATCGTGGAAACGAGCTCCATGGGCCCAATCACGGCCCTGTCGAGCAAGTCCACACTCGACAGCCCATCGACAACCTCGCGCATGGCAGATCTGATCAACCCCTCGGCGAACTCAAAGTGATCACGCCACACGTAGCCGTCAGCGGAGCTGTGGATGAGCCCCATCAGGAGGTGAAGCCAGGCCTGCACAAACTGGTTCGGAACGACGACCCTGGCCCGGTCTCGATGGTGCGCATGCGCCAGCACCGTCTTGAACGACTGGATGGGCTGCGTGAGCTGCCTGAGGACCTTGCGCACCATGGGCGCATTCAGGGGCGCAGCGTCCGACTGCCGTCGTCTTCTGATCCCGGCCGCGGCCTTCATATCCGCCGAGGAGAGCTGAACAACACCTAGTTAGAGAGTAGCATGTGTTTGGGTACGTGTAGTGCGCTCTTACCTGGATCAGGGCAGAGACGGCTCCCCAATATCTCTTGACGGTCGGTGCCTCGATATCCAGCGGGAAGAAGAACTGAAACACCATGTCTGCTGCGTTGAAGATGTCGATGCGTTCTTCGTACCCGCGCTTCTTTGAGGACGCATTCCTCAGCCTCTCCATCTCGGCCCCTTGTTGCTCGAGGTACTGGAATAGGGACTCCCGGGTGTTCTCCTCGCAGTCTGTATACGCCTTCTTGTCCGTGAAGCTGGTGCCTCTGCACAGGTAGTCATCAACCTCCTTTAGCTGTTTTTCAAGCGCCTCTTTGTCGACCCAAGGCTGTGCGGTTCCCGTGGACACGAGCACAGTTTCCATCCACGTAAACACGTGGAAGCTCTGGTGCAGGTCGACTTCTGCTTTTTTGTCGTTTTTGTCCTGCTCTGGTTTGGCCTTATCTGTACTCGTTCCCTTGGGTGGTTTCAGGCCTTCGGCAGCCGACGCTGACACGGCCGAATTCTCGGCCGAGAGCGAAGGTATTGCGTCCGGGCCCTTCCCCCCGAGGACGCCACGCACAGGCGGCTGCGGAGGGTCAACGGTCTTTAGGCTGAGGGTGACGGTCGAGTTTGACCTCTTGGCTAGGTTTATGATACGTGGCCAGTCATCCTCACAGATTGGACGATCGTGGTGGCAGAATCGGAGCGCCTGTGGCCAGAAGTCGTGGAAGTAGGTCAAGAAGGACTTCAGGTAAGGGGAAGCCCGGTTGTCAGCATGAATTCTTGAAGCGTCTCCATTCGTTCCCGTCTAGGGCTCGAACCCGGGGAGCACATACAAACCAAGTTTCGCACTCGTGGACCGGGATCGCCCAGAGAACCGCCTCTCCATACGCGACGAGGATTCTGGCTAGCCCGTTGTTGGGGCCGCGGCCATTCCTAGTGGGCTCGTTGACAATAGTTATCAGTTCTCCTCGAAGCGTCGCCTCCGTCATGGAGCCACATGTGATGAGAAACGAGTTGTCAATGACGATGCACCAGAGCTGACTGATGTGGAAGCAAGATCCCGGCGCCAGGCTGCCCCCGAGTTGGCAAACAGCCTGCTGCATGTCGCGCTCCCTGTTGATGCGGCTGTACTGTGCCTGTAGGAGGGCCTGGTTTGGATACTGAGATGCCATTGTTGCGGATCCTAGGCCGGCGTATTTCTCGAGCGAGAAGTAAGGGATGCAGATCCATGTGATGGTCCGTCGCCTTGAGCTCTGCCCCTTGGCGCTGTCCTCTGATGGGAGCGGCAGCTGGAAGTATCTGGGCTCCATGAACCGAACGTTGGAGCCTTTGTTAGTCTGCTTTGTTTTGATATAGTTTCTTTTGACTTCTGTGAGGAGCTTGACAAGAACGGTGCGGTCCCCATCGGGCAGATCTGGGATTGCTGTAACCGCGTTCTATGAGGGCTGCTGTTAGAAACACACGGATGGACAGCGAGAATGGCAAAAGAATGGCGGTGCATCATCATACCGAAAGCTCTTGAAAGTCCATCATATTCTGTCTCACATGCCTGCTTGGAGTTAGATATCATGCAGTGATCAAAACGGGTAACCCCGGTCGTATGGGGAAGACGCCAAGAAGAAGACTAACAGCCACCTAAAAAGAGCCTGCCTATGCCTCGTGCTCTTGGAGTCGTGCATAACCGTGAGCTTCACGGCGTGGGCGCCATCCGATAGCGCGTCGCCCGTGTACCGGCTCTCGTACACGTTCAAGATCCCGGCGCCGGCCTTCTGGTGGTCGGAAATGACCCCGTCGATGACCTGGCCGGGCGGCGCGGGCCGGGCGGGGGACTGCTCCCGGTCAGAGCCGACGGCGCTATCATCGCTCAGGACGCGGGAGCGCGACGACGAGCGCGAGGGGGTGAACTCGAAGGCCTTGGTGGTGCCCAGGAAGCCCTCGTAGTCGTCGAAGGCGTCGCTGTCGCTGTCGGCGACGCCGCCGCCGGGCCCGTCGTAGAAGCGCGAGTGCCGGAGACGCCGGCTGGGGCGGTGGTGCGGGAACTGCACCTCCGAGTAACGCTCGTAGTCGTCGTCACCGCCGCTCAGCAGGCTAGCGCTGCGCGCGCGCGCCGGCCTCTCCTCGTACGCGAGGGGCTCCGAGTAGAGGTCCTCCTCGTCGGGCGCGCTCCTAGTGTGCTCCCGGACCACCGGGGGCGGGGCGGCCGCGAACGGGCTCCGGGGGACGGCGGTGGCCGAGCGGCGCTGCTGGTCCTGCGACGGGCGTCGCTGCGCCTCGCGCCTCGACTCGTGCAGGTACTCGCGGCTCGCGCGCCTCAGGGGCGGCGGCGGCGGCGGCGGCGGCGGAGGGCGGGTGTCGGCCGACGAGTAGTACTCGCCCGGCTCGCGCGGCCAGCCCAGGCTGGGGTTCGGAATCGGGTAGTAGCCATAGACGGGCGCAGACGGCAGCGGTGGCGGGAGCGCAGCGCCGTACTCTCGGCCGCCGGGGGCGCTGGAATAGTACGGGCTGGGCTGGACGTAGCTGTAGACCAGGCGGTGATGGGCCGGCGCCGACTGCTCGCCAAGCCCGGACTCCTGCTCCCTCTGGAGGGTCGGGGGTCTCCGATTGCGCAGGTAGCGGTAGCCTTCAGGGACAGGAAGTGACCCTGTCCGCTTGACAGGCTGCGGCTGGTCTTCGTCCGACATGTTCTGCGTTTCCACCAACGGTCTAGCGCTTGAAGTAAAGCCTAACCGACAGCTCCTGCCTAGGCGACGCTCGTCTTTTGAGCATGTTGGCGAGGGATAGCCTGACCAGACGGGACCGCAGGGAAGGCGTTCAATCAATTGCCTGCCATCCTCGCTGCCTGGTGGAGATGCTCAATTTGATCATATGAGAGGCGCCAGCTGCATGCTAGGATTAATTCTGCACTTGCCGGGGTATGAGTGAGACAGCCTCCAGCTGATATCCACAATCAAAGCCAAGGCTAGGTTGTCATACCTGCCCATTTAGTAGAAGCATTCTCAGCGTAAAAAATGAAGGGAAGGCTGCAGAATGGGAACATCAAAGCCAAAATCTATCCACAACAAACTCCCAAGTGCTTGATACGCAGTAGTAGCGTTGATTCCTTTCCACCAAGGCCCCTTGCCATATTCTGACCGCGATCCCCTGCTAGCGTTGTGTGTCTACCCCGGCTTACAACATCAGCATCCACCTAACCATATGAGCCATGCCTCTTGATTCCCAGTAGGAGCCGTGGCGAGCCTCCACCTCTCCATACACGATCGATTAGCCGGTGAAGACAAACTTGGGGCGCACTTCCTCCAAGGCGTTTCGATAAACACTGATTCTTGGGCCATAACGACCACTGAAGAGCCTGCCTTCTGTGACCACGAATAGGCCGCCGACGTGCCTGAAGTCGTACAAGGACAGGATGCCGAGGACCGGCTTCCTGGGGTCGACCCTTCGTGAGTATCAACACGCGTAGCTAGACCTGGCCCGCGCTTTGGAGGATGTCCATGTCCCACAGCGCCTAGCCATGGTCCCGCATGGCGAAGTGATTCCCGCCCCCAGGAATGCCTCCTACGACCATGCCTCGTAGGCCGTTCCATGCAAAATTGGGTAGGCTTGTTGCATCTCGGAATCGGGCACATCGTTATACAGGTCTCTGCGCGTGTTGGTATAGAAGGGGAGAAGGCTGTTCGTCCGGAGTTGGTTTCGCTGGCACGTTCGTTTGAAGGTGTTCGAGACGAACTGGTTGCGGCGCTCTCGAAGCTGTTTCTCGAATGCCTCCAGATACTCTAGGCCGAGGGCACTCAGGGTAGTCGAGTATCCAACCCGCTTCGCGATCGAAAGCACCAGGAACTAAACCTCACCTGGGTAAGTGAATTCCTCTGGGGGGGGGGGGGGGGGGCTTTGTGTCATATGCTTGTTTGGGGCCGCGAGCGTGTTGAAGAAGTCTGTCTTCGTCTGTCCCAACGAAGCATATATAAATAAAAGCAAAAAAAAAAGGCAAAAAGCTCACTCGGCCGTTGTGAAACAGCGTCGTTACGAAAACCCGCACTCGCTGGTTTTGCTTGCTCTAAAATCGCCGTCACTAGACGGTTCGAATCAGCGAGCTTGGGGTTTCCTGGCCCTCACCCGTGGAAGACGGTTGTAGCTTTGCGCCACGGTTTTTACCCGTTCGACCACCCGGTTTGCTGCTGTGAGCTGTTGGAAACCAGACTACCAGTCGTGCATATAAGGAGCAGTGCCCGTGCAGTAGATGATTGAGCATCCTCTCATAGCGCCTCTACACCAAAGCGCTGGACGCGGTCTACTTCGGCAACCTGCCAGGGGCGCAAGTGACTAAAGACATACGAAAGTTCAAGCCCAGCCGTGCGAAACCCGATGGTTTCGCAATGTAGTTGGTAGGGTGGACCGACTTGGCTACGCTTTCTTTCGCCAATCGGCGCCTCTGTTTTGCAACATTCACGATGATGAAAATTTCCCTATCATATGTGTATCATATGTGTCGAAACTCGCCCCGCGTTGCAGAATTGGATAGGCTTCGCAGGGCCTTCTTCCGCTACTAACAAGCTCGAAGACAGTGCGGGCGCAAGATTCGTCTAGATATGGCGGAGATTGGCTACTGCGAGTCCAGGAGAGACACCAGAAGACGAGACCACCCTTCTGCTAGCCGAAGGGCGCCTCATACAGAAGAAGGGTAGCACTAAGCCCACAGAACAATGGTGACGTGTTCGCGTGAGTCGCAAAGGAGCGGTAGAAGTGATCGGAGAGCGATTTGATGGCATTGTAAAGAGCCTTGGATGTCAACGACAATGATCTGATGTGCATTGGCGCGTCTAGCTCCTCGAGGATGAGGAGAAAGAGTGCATAATTTAAATGCTCCAGGGGCCTCACGGTCGGGGACGTTGCTGTTGGGGGGATAGGAGAGGGGTGCAGGAAGGGAGTTGAAGAGGCGAATGCAGAATTAAAATGACAATGAGGCTCTATTTGAAGGTTTCAATACTCATCCCCATGCAGGGAACAGGACCAAGGATGGGGGAGCCCGCTGTAATTGCTTCCTTGGCCACAGGTTGGCATTTCGGGATATGAACAAGCACTTATGATCACAAATGGAGTTTGGAAGACAATATTGTGCGTGCCCTGTAAAACTGGCGCCGGCTTGATAAAGGGGCAAACCCCCGGGTATCTATGAATGTACATGGTAGCCGATCGCGGATCTCCTCGCTTGGACCGAGGCGTGTCACTCATGAGGATTTTATCATGAAGATCTAGACAGGTTAGCATCCTCGCCACATGGCATCGGAAAGAGCGTGGAATGTGAGCCTTTACCTGATTAAGGGCTTGCGGATCGTTGAGCGCCATCCTCTTTTGAGCAATGAATCGCCTCCTGGACAAGAATCGGGCAGACACCTGGGACACCGGCGTCGAGGTGCCGCTGCCGGTTGGCGTTGATGCACCGGTGGGCGGAGCTGCCGTGGACTCGCGAGAGGGTTCCTCGTCAACATTCGCTTCCCTATCTCTCTTTTCCTTCTTCTCCTTCGTTTTGTCCTTCCGCTTGTCGCTTTTGTCGTCCGCAGAGTCCTTTTCGGCGGCCGCGGCTCCCTCCTCCTTAAGCTTCCGTTTCTCTTTCTTTTCCTTCTTCTCCTTTTTACTCCTGGACTTTGACTCGGTGCTAGAAGCATCGTTCTCGGTCTCAGGGGTTCTGTTGTCGTCTCCGCCTGTCTCCGAGGCCTCCTTCCGGCGCTTCTTTCTATCACTTCGCCGCTCCTCTTTTGACCGGGCGTCAACTTCTGCGTCATCTGCCTTTCGCTTTTTGGACTTCTTCTCCTTCTTGACTTTCGCCTCGACCACGCCCTCGGCGCTGCTGGCTGCAGCTAAGTCCTCGCTCTTCTTGCTAGCGCCATCCTTATTGGCAATTTCTGTTGACTCCTCCATCTTGTCTCCGACAAGGAACCCCCCTCGAACGAACCGGACGGTTCCGAATTTGCGCTCGATGTAGACACTCCGCATGTGATCCTCTTTGGCCTTCTTGTCTTGCTCGATGGCGGCCTCGGACTTGCCGTTCAGGCGCGCCAACATCTCCTTAAAGGCGTTGAGACCCGTACACTCGTCCCCGCGGTTGATCTTGGCACCGAGGCCGAGGTTGTCATCCTTGAGCGCGACGCGGATGTGCGATGCGCTCGCAGCGGTATGGAAAGCCGCGTGCGCCGAGTCCTGCGGGCCGAGGAACTGCCCCGGCTGCCATCCCTGGGACCGCAGCATGCGATGGCCGAACGAATCCGTGTTACGGCTCCATTTCGTGTTGTTCGGGTCGTTGCCCAGCTTGCGCTTGCTGGAATGATTCGCCGGGGTCAGCGCATTTGCGCCTGAGCCACAGCGCAAAGCTGGCAGAGGTTCGGCGGGTTTCCTAGGCTTGCAATAACTCACTTTTTTGGGCCTGCAAGACCCATCTTTACTTCGGCGGACGGGCGAGGGCGTAATGAGATCGCGACTGGCCGAGGTTTGACGACGGGCGGTGTTGACCCTCGCTGCGGTTTCTGCCTTTTTCCTGCCGCCCAGCCCAAAAATTTTGCGTGGGGCAGCGATCCCTGAGCTGCCTTATCTTATCACAGCATGGACACCCATCTGGAGGAATCCACTTCTTCCTCCCAGATGTTCCCGCAAACCTCGTATCATCGCGCTTGCCTTTTTGGGCTGTAACAGAACGGCGCTGGTGCCTGCCTGCTGGGCAGAATAGGAAGAAAACATTTCGCACAATGGAAAAGAACCCGGGATAGAGAGTAGGCCTGACCTCACAGATGGGGAATGCACACCATCTCAGTCGGTGATTTCACACCCCATCTATTCACCCGCATCTGTGTCTTCGGGAGCACAATTGGATCCAGCTCTCCTTGCGGCTGAGATCTCGACAGAATGCCTCCCAAAAGAAAAGCAGCGCCGGCTTTGGAACATAGGAGTAGGGCTGCTCCGCAGTCCTCTCTAAAGAAGATAGCCGCCGAGGTTTGTTTTGCTATACTCCCTGCCCGTTGACCGCTTGTTATGGCCAGCGCGTGTCTTGAACGAAACAAACACCGTATTCACGATGATTGCTGCAGTACAGAAAGCAGCTGAACTCCAGGTTGGCCCAGATCAAGAGCCAGTACCTAGTGCGTGCCAATGAGGTCAAGCAGCGGGCCAAGGACAAGATACAGGAGAAGAAGACAAGGATGTGAGTGCAATGAACCACGAGCAAGCAGCAAGCACTGCGCGTGTGCCCCTACATCCCTGTGCAAATGCTAAGATCGGGGTTACCGCACCCCCCACGCTCAGCTTTGCCCAGCAGACTCGCGAGCGCCGCCAGGTCTCCGTCAAGCTACTGAAGCTGCTGAATGCGCGCGACGCAAAGCTTCAGGCCATTGCTAGCAAGTTAGAAGAGACGAAGCACGACCACGACACCTTCGCCGCATGCCTATCGGTCGTCTACAAGACTTTGAGTGACAAAGCGAGCAATTTATCTGACATCACCCCGACCCCGAGACACACGGCCAACTCGAAAGACAGGGCGAGGAGGTGAGCATGGAGTTCGTGGGGCACAGGCCATGCAACTGTGCCAGCCATCCTCGACTTGACCAACTGTATTCTGCGCGGAGCTTCCTTTATGGCCACGATCCGGGGAATGGAGCACTGTCGAATGATGCTCCCCCCTTCGCTGAGGAGGCTTGCTGGGCTTGTAAATCATGGCTGAGGGATGAGTTCTGTGTCTTGTTATTTGAACAGAGCCAAACGCCGGTCTATCCTGTTTTTCCAGCGGACACGAGTCCGTATCGTATGTACAATGGCGCTATAATCCAGCCCTAGATCACGGCGCCACGGGTAGTAAATCGTACAGAGCTGGCACTGCCACTTGATAACGGTGCTATGGTCGCTGTGTGACTTGTCAGACCTTGAAGCCGAAGCCTTCCATGCAGCTCCGGTACTGCTGAATGGTCGTCGTGCAATCCTCCTCCGGATCCTTGGCGCTTGAGAAGAGCATGCACTCGTCGCGCTTTGCTTTTTCGTCTTTGCAGACGCAACACGGCTGATTGGGAGGATTTCATAAATTGTAAGCGACCAGGTGTGGAAAAAAAAGGGGGGGGGGAAGAACAAGTCTGCGGTCGTCTAAACTCACCCTGGGCTTCTCGGCCGCGTCGGACGTCGAGGTTTGCGCCGGAGCCGCGGAGGCGAGAGCAGCTGGAGAAGGTCAGAATCTTGATGCCCACCCGGTGCCATCTGGGGTTCGACCTACGCATCCTTGTTGCTTGCGACGCCATCGTGTCTGGTTGGGAGGTTGTTTGTCCCATGGCGGAGGGGAGACGAGCACGCGATTTTAAGCCGCTGCAGATTTCCAGGCGAAATGTCAGCCGAATTTCGGGATGATGTAAAGCCAACACTCACGGAATTTTTTAGCGGGGATGCTCGACCCACAGGACTTGAGGCCCCTAACATGATGTAATGTCACGTGGAACCCTGAGGACGACCACAAGCTTGGCCAGGGGGTTGGAATGAGGCAGCGACCTGGACTGCAACTATACAATATGAAAGGGACCGGCGTAGGGGATCGTAGTGTGAGCTAACCTCATAGGATGACAAGCGGATACACTTAGACATGCTTCAATTTGGGTCAACAACAGCCACACCACAGTGATCCTTAACCTTCTTGCCGCCATTTCGCCAAGGATAAATAAAAGTCAACAAAAGCCCGAAAGTCCCTGCATGGCACCCAGACTAGCCTATCATATCCCCAATCATAAACGCCCGGAACTTGTCCATCGCCTCCCTGAGCCGGATCAGCACCCCAGCCGCCAGCATCTTGACCTCGTCCTCCTCGCCTCCCGCGCCGTCCCCGCCCCGCGTCCCCTCGAAGACGAGAGAGACCCACTCCTGGGTCTCGACGACCTCGCGGCCGAGGTCCCGGCACACGTCCCTCATGCGCGCCTCGCCGCCGCCGCCGCCGCCGCCGCCGTTGACGTCGAGAAGGGCCAGGAGCGCAAACAGCGCGGCGCGCGCCACGCCGAGCTCGCCCGCGCAGCGCGCCCGCACCCCGAGGACCAGGCGCCAGAGCTCCGCCGTCATGTCGGGCAGCGACAGCGTCGACGGCCCCGCCGCGTGCACCAGCAGGCCCAGCGTGCGGAGGAGGTGCGCGAGGAGCTCCGGCTGCGCCACGACGCCGCCGCGGCCCCCGGCCGCCGCCGGCGAGGCCCGGAGCGCCGTCTGGAGCCGCGCCGTGAGGGGGAAGAAGACGGCGGTGCAGAGCAGCTGCGCGGTCGTGTTGGGGATGGCGCGGAGGCGGGCCTTTTTCCCCGACGATGTTGACGAGAACCCCTGCTTCTCCTGCAGGCGCGAGGTGAAGGAAGACAGCTTCAGGGCGTCGGGCCCGGTCGCCGCGTCTGCTGCGCTGGCCGCCATGGGCGCCATGAAAGACTGTGTTATCGACCGCGCGATGTTCTCGATGGCGTTGGGGGCGAGGGCTTGGAGCCGCCCTGACGACTGGCCGTCTCCGGAAGGGCTTGCCCGCTCCAGGTATAGGCGTTCCATGCTCTCGGGCAGCCGCTTGGACGGGAAGGCGGCGGAATCGGCATACTCTGACTTTTCATGGCCCGCAAGCTCCCTCGATCCCAGCCCGAGAACCGTCAAGACGGACGCGCGCTGGGAGAGCGAGTAGTCACCGTCGAAGAATGTGCGCGCGAACCAGGGGCCCATCTTCTGCGGCTGGGCGACAAAGACGGCAACCATACCCTGGATGCGCAGGTCGTCGAAATCGTCCATGTCGTACTTGTCCTGGACACCCACTAGGAGTGTGGCAAGCTCCTCGGCGTGCTCCTGTACCTCTGTGCCATAGCTTGCTTTCCGTCGGATAAGGACAGGAGCAGTGGTGAGCGCCAGTCGCTGTCGGTCATAGTTCTCCGAGTCTCTCAGATACGTAATAAGGTCCCTGATGTACACCGGAGCCCGGGGCTTGTCTCTGCTGACGAGCTCGGCGTCGTCCTCGGAATCTTCTGGATCAGAATCCGGCTTGGCGTACGGGGCGAGGCCATCCTCCTCTTCGTCGCTGTCTACGACCTCCATGATGACTGGTTTCTTGGCCTGTTGCGATGTCGCGGGCCGCGGGTGCTTTGTGGTTGCTGGTGGCTTTTGCGGTAATTTGGCTGCCTTCTTGGTGAGACCTGGGCGCCCATGTGTCTCGAACCTCTTTCGTAGCGAATCCACTGGCCCAATACTATCAGATACCTCTACCAAGGCCTTGTACCATTTTGCATCATCGCTCTTGGTCTCGTTCATGTCGAAATCGAGACCCTTGCCGCCTGTCTTGGCTAGGCACGAAATGGCCTCGCCAACGATCATCCCAAGAATTCGAGCTCGTGTTTGGGGAGCGCCTAGCCTGTTGGAGATGGCATTCATGTATGCGCTGGATCTGGCAAGCAAAGACAGCTTTATCGGGCTTGTCCTGTGCAGATACCCGGCGCCGAGAAGGAGGACCTGGGTGTGCGCTATGGTGGGTGGAACTAATTAGCAGGGCCACGAGAAGATAAGGACCTTTACCCTGTCTTACCCTCTTGCTGCAAGAGCGGAGCGTGGCGGACGTATAGCTGGTCACCGAACTGTTCCAGGCTTTTCTCCACAACCGTCGTCAAGCCATCCTGTTTCTGCGCAACAACAGCGATGACAGCACGGCGTATACCGACGGATTCTCCCGGCGCGGCGCCCGAAGAGTCTGTCAACCAGGATACAAGCATGTTTACTCTGGAATCGACTTGAAGCACCGCCGAGTCCAGCAGACCAGCAACTGCGGCTACAGTCGAGGACTCGGGTATGGAGGACAGGTCTGCTGCTCCATCGAAGCAAGTGCGCGACGTGAGTCTAAGCAAGGAGTAAAGGAGTCGCTTCTGCTCGAAAAGAGAGAGGCCTCTGAATATACGATCGAAGGCAGCCTTGCCGTCGTCAGACTCCTTGACAAGCAGCGCCTCTACCAATGCCTGAACCATCAAGTCTTGTGGCGGTCAGTATACCCCAGGATAACTGTGTGCGAGAATGCGGTGGACTTTTATCCGACGGCCTTAGTGCCTAGACAGACTAGACTTACCACAATGTCCAAGCCGGAAACTCTTGACGAGCAACTCAGATATCAGCTTGCCCTGTGACTCGGACGGGTCTATTCGGGCCCAGTGGATGATGTTCTGCAACAGCCATAGGCTGTAGCCTTTGCTTTCGGTCGCCCAAAAGTCGGTGTCGGTGATGTCCTCCTTCCTTATTGTCCTCTCCACCTCTGCCGCAACAGAAACGACTCTGCCGCCGCCGAGGACGTTGACTAGTTCCTGCGCAAGTGGCCGCGCCACGGCGCTCGAACCTTCAAGCCCCCCTGTGGTGTTTTGCCAGATGTGGAGGATTGTTTCCGGCCCAGCGAGCAGCGAGCAAAGCAAGTCCAGCAACAGCTCTAGGGTCAGGCTCGTATGGGATCTTCGACTGTTGTCCGCGGACGCCTCAAGCTCTCCCATCAGGCCCCTGAGGTGGGTTAGGATGGCATTGACTCCTGACACGTTCCGTAAACATGTTAGGAGAAAATGGTACGGCGTGGACGGGCTACTCGGACTTCCTTCTCCTTCAGCTAAAGAATTTTCGGCTTCATCTTTGAGCAGACGCCAGTAGTTCGGAACAATTTCCGTTACCAGGGCTTGGATTATCTGGGAGTTCAAGGGGTTTGGAGAGTGTATGCTCTTGACCTTGGCGTCGCTCGGACTCCTACTGATCAGGTATTCGAGGACAGACGCAAGGGTTTCATAGCTGGGCTCGCTCTTGAGGGCCTCGAGGGCGTCGACATAGCAGGAAAGGCGCTCAGCTTTCTCTAGCTTGGTCTTCACAAGGGGAGTGTCGACTTGATCCAACACTAGCTTCTCCTGCCTTTTGGTTGTGTACACCTGGCTCACAGGCGTGAAAAGCTCGTCCATCTTCTCGCCAAGGACTTCAGCATTGTTCGAAGACTCTCGTGGTAGAGGCGAAGAAGAGAAACGCCGCCTTCCTCGTCGCCGCTGTGAGTGAATGTGATGAATGCGCTGTATGCTAGGTCGGGTTCAATTGCGCGATGCTTGCTAGCCTAGCAGTTGGCCTTCTTGGGTAGCACACGGGAACTGAGCAGTTGGTTGATGAACCCCAACGTCAGGCTAGCCGTGCCCCCGTTTGCGTGCAGCAGCACAGTGATGTGCCGATCAGGTTACAGGGGCACTTCCGCCTGTAGCCATGTTATCGATAAGGTGATTAGCGGGCTTGCCCCCTGGAGCACCCCCGCTCTATCGCGACGCAGCACCAGACTTCATGTTGGTTCAATCGCTACGGCTGCCTAGAGTCAACAGCCCAAGCAAGCGGCTCCGCTGGTTGGAACACACCACAGCCCAGCCTAGCTCTCTGACACGGCGGACAAAACCAGTGACCGGCCTCACCAAAGCGACTCATCACAGATCGCGCCCAGGACAAAAGTTTGCCATTCACACCCCAGATTGAGAACCGAAGGGAGGAGAGGAGCACTCGTCAGAAGAGAAGATGGCTGCCGACCCAGTGGTGCCTATTGCGGCCCCGCTGTCAAGATGGTACGGATCACCACCTCCTCATTCCCCTTGCTCTCTGCTTAAGCTGATCGCTTCATGGCGCAGGCACTACCTAGATAGAATCAGAACGACCCCCGGCCCCTTCACGGACGAGGAGTCCTTCAGTCCAGAAAATGCAATCGCTAGCATGGACAAGATGTCCGTATTGTACGTTGGTATCGTTGCCTGCTGTTCCTCTGTTACATCCAGTGCTAACCTTGCCGTTTGCACGGGTCCAGGGTCATGTAAGCCCAGATGATCGCGCTCTTGGAGATACCAACTGTCGGTTCCATGGGTGGAAGCCAGTACTAATGGCGAAGAAAGCGGTGCCGGTGGCCTGGGATGCGAGATCCTGAAGAACTTGGCGTTGTCTGGATTCAAGAACATTCACGTCATCGATATGGGTACGTGGCATAGGAACCAGGACAAGGGGCTGTAGTCCAAGCCGACTAACTCGCTGTTCCTCATAGACACGATAGATATCTCTAACCTGAACCGACAGTTCCTGTTCCGCAAGGAGGACGTGGGCAAGTTCAAGGCCGAGGTGGCCGCCCGGTTCGTGCAGCGGCGGGTCAAGGGCGTCAAGATCACGCCGCACAACAAGCGCATCCAGGAGTACGACGACGACTTCTACATGCAGTTTCAGCTCGTCGTGTGCGGGCTGGACAGCATTGAGGCGCGGCGCTGGATCAACGCTAAGCTGTGCGACATGGTGGACATGGACAACTTCGACTCTCTCAAGCCACTCATCGACGGCGGCACCGAGGGCTTCAAGGGCCAAGCGCGCGTCATCTTCCCCACCGTCACGTCGTGCATCGAGTGCCAGCTCGACATGCACGCGCCGCGCGCGGCCGTGCCGCTCTGCACCATCGCGTCGATCCCGCGGCAGCCCGAGCACTGCGTTGAGTGGGCGCACGTAATCGCCTGGGACAGGGAGAAGCCGTTCCCGAGCCTGGACAAGGACGACCCGGAGCACATCACGTGGCTATACGAGAAGGCGCTCGGGCGGGCGCTCGAGTTTGGCATCCCGGGAATCACGTACGCCCTGACGCAGGGCGTGGTCAAGAACATCATACCCGCCATCGCGTCGACCAACGCCATAATCGCGGCGAGCTGCTGCAACGAGGCCTTCAAGATCGCGACGAACGCGGCGCCCTCGCTCGGGGCCGAGGAGAACTACATGATGTACTCGGGCGACGACGGCGTCTACACGTACACGTTCAAGCACGAGCGCAAGGAGGACTGCCCCGTGTGCGGCAACGAGGCCCGCCCGCTGCGCGTCGACGCCCGCTGGACCCTCTCGGAGCTGGTCGACCACCTCGCCGTCCAGCCCGCGGCCCAGCTCAAGCGGCCCAGCATTCGTGCCGAGGGCAAGTCCCTGTACGTCCAGCTCACCCCGGACCTCGAGGAGGCCACGAGGCCGAACCTGGACAAGACACTAGCGGAGCTGGGCCTCGTGAGTGGGCAGGAGATTGCCGTGACGGACCCGGCCTTTATGAGCATCGTGTTCCGATTCATCCTACGGTTTACAGAGGGATAGAAGTTGGCTCGTGTCTATCGGGACGCTGGCTGGGTGTTTGATAGGCTTGCTTGCTTTTCGTCGTCACGGAGTCTGTCAGTTGGTTTTGGCTCGCCATGGACAGACAAAATCACGGAAAATGCGCTGCATCAATCGGTCTTTAGATCCAAAGAATCGTCAAATGTTGATATTTTGCCTGCCAAACCTTTTACCTAACCTGGACGCCGTTTCATAAAAGCATACAGAGTGCGGAATGTGGTGATGCGAATGATGTGCATACCGCAGTGGGCGGGGTGATGTGCCTCTAGACACAAGTACAAGACGATATAGACGTCTATAAACATTCGGGAGCTCCACATGCCGCTTAAAAAAACCAAAGATGCTCAAGAGATAGAGCCGTCTCTTCACCTAGCCATGTTGATGACCTGCTGCTCCATCTTCTGGCACTTGGACTTCAGCTCGGCCACGGCGGCGAGGAAGAGCTCGTCGCTGCCCCACTGGCCGGCGCTCTCGACTGAGAAGATGAAGTGGTCCCGGCGGCGGCCGAGCTTGACCTTGCCCTCGAACTCGGCGTGGCGCAGGCACTCGCGGCTGACCGTGTCGCGCATGGGGTCCTCGACCACGGCCTTGAGCTCGCCCTTGCGGCCCTCGTAGCCGCTGCCGGCGCGGGCGGCGTCCTCGGCCGTGACCTTGCGCAGGCCGATGACGCCGTCGGGGAAGCAGTCGCGGAACTTCTCGGCGTCGGCACCCAAAATGGGGCGGGTTATGTCGATGGTGGGCATGAGGCGGTATGAGGCGGTGCAGACGGGCGAGAACTTTGCGTGGTCCCAGCCGTAGCCGACGTGGGCGTGCATCTCGAGCTCGATAGCCTGGCCGGGCCGCAGCTTGGCGAGCAGGATGTCCGGGTTGACGGGGCCGATGACGCCGTCGCCCGAGAACCAGTCGGCTTGTTGGCCCTCGGGCAGGAACTCGATGTCGCGGGCATAAACGTTTGCGTGGTGGTAGAGCTTGGCCGGGTCGGTCTCGCCGGCAGCGGCGGCCTCGTTGCGGCTGCACTGGACGCTCAGGCGCAGGTTGACCGTGTTGAAGTCGAACGAGTTGTCGAAGGCGCCGGCCTCGCTCTTGCGGTAGACGCGCATGAAGCGGCGCAGGCCCTCGCGCGAGCCCCGGAGCGGCACCAGGCCCAGGCGCTGGGCCAGGACCTCGTCCTGGATGACCGAGGTGTTGTTGGATATGAAGACGCGCTCGATGGCGAGCGAGGGGATCTCGGAGATCATGATGCGGCGGAAGGCGTTGGCGATGGAGGCGTCGACGCCGACCAGGCTGAAGGAGGCGTGGAACGGATCATTCTGGTGGAACTGGATGCTGAAGGTCTGGGAGAAGAGGTCGAGGTCCCAGGCGTGCTGCTCGCCAAAGAAGTGGCCGGGGAAGTCGGTTGACGAGACGTTGGTGACCGTCTCCTTGTTAATGCCGACAATCTACGTGCGCATGAGGGGAGAGCTCGTCAGTTGGAGCTTCAGTTAAGCATTGGAGCGAATATTCCTAGTAATTACCTTTCGCCTATCCAGCTCGTCCTGGTTTGTCTGTGTTCTTGAAGGCATCTTGACTGCACGCTTCGATTAGTCCAGTGACGTGCGGAGCCAAGGGTTTTCTTTCTCTGCGCGCATCATTGGCAGTAAAATTTGGGCGGGCAACTTTTTTTGTCAAATGCTTACGACAAGGGCGACCCCACCACGGCCGAACATATGTGGGGAACTTGGCCGAGGTCTGGGGTCTGGCTGGATGTAGTTTCGGGTAGACACGTGGGCTGTCTGATACTGTTGGCTGTTGTGGTTTTTTTTCTTATCCTTGAATACTTATGGGTTTTCACTGCTCTCTTCTGTAAACAATTCTTTTCGGCACCCTACACTCACTCTCACAGGCTGGAGGCCCTCCAATAGGACCAAGGCTGAAACAGCGACTGGAAAAGAAGCCGATAGGAGCTGAAGAAGAGAGCTTCATGTCATTTCTTCTAATTTTCGCGCTATCTGTAATCGTAGTGTCGAGCCAATAGGCACTAGAAATGTTCTTGAAGATCAAATCATCAAAGCTCAGGTGGAAATGCTTGATAATTCCCGCTCCTGACTGGCCCGTGCTCCCACTGCGGGGTCGCGGATATTCTGTCCCCCGGCCCTAAACCTGATTGGGCGCCGAGAGCTGCGCAGAGCTCGGTCATGACGGCCGCCACGAGATTGACGCTCACCACCGGAATCGAGCGAGCCCCTCCCTCGGCCCAATTGACGACGACGCGTTGCCACTGCCAGAGGCACAGAGCCCTGAGAGGTTTCACGTCCATGCCCTCTCTGCGGACCGGCCTCTCCTCGACACCCGCCCACGAACACGCCCCTGCCCACCCCCCGAATTAAAGCCGCAATGACTTCGCTCTATCGCCTGGCCGGCCGAGCCGCCGCGAAGCGCCTGTTCCTCCGGCCCGCCATCCCCTCCCAGACCCCCTTCGCCGCCGCCTCAATAAGATGCTTCTCCACCGCCCCCCGCCGACGCTACGCCGAGCCCGCCACCTACCAGCCGACGCGCCTGGTGCCCGTAGACAGCAACTTCCAGCCCGCCGCCGACCCCTACGACGTCGAGCACGAGGGCGAGGACCACGTCCGGGCGCCGCGCGACGATGCTATCGAGGACCGCAAGATCCGCCACTACACGGTCAACTTTGGCCCGCAGCACCCGGCCGCCCACGGCGTGCTCCGCCTCATCCTCGAGCTAAGCGGCGAGGAGATTATACGGGCTGACCCGCACGTCGGCCTGCTGCACCGCGGCACCGAGAAGCTGTGCGAGTACAAGACGTACCTCCAGGCCCTGCCGTACTTTGACCGTCTCGACTACGTTTCCATGATGACCAACGAGCAGTGCTTCGCCCTCGCCGTCGAGAAGCTGCTCAACGTCGAGATCCCCGAACGCGCAAAGTTTATCCGGACCCTGTTTGGCGAGATCACTCGTGTCCTCAACCACCTCATGTCCGTCCTGTCCCATGCCATGGACGTCGGCGCTCTCACGCCTTTCCTGTGGGGCTTCGAGGAGCGAGAGAAGCTGATGGTATGTCCATCCTCCCCACTCGCCGCAGGCTTTCCCTCCATCCCTGGGGCCTGGGGTCTCTGCTAATTCCGAGCCAAACCCCAACCGATATAGGAATTCTACGAGCGTGTCTCGGGTGCCCGTCTGCACACTGCCTACGTGCGGCCCGGTGGTGTTCACCAGGACATTCCCGCCGGTCTCCTCGACGACATCTACCAGTGGGCGACGCAGTTTGGCGACCGCATCGACGAGACAGAGGAGATGCTGACGGACAACCGCATCTGGATCAACCGTCTGCAGGGCGTGGGCGTGGTCTCGGCCGCCGAGGCGCTCAACTTGTCCTTCACGGGCGTCATGCTCCGCGGGTCGGGCGTGCCGTGGGACGTGCGCAAGAGCGCGCCCTACGACGCCTACGACCAGGTCGAGTTCGACGTGCCCGTGGGCGTCAACGGCGACTGCTATGACCGCTACCTGTGCCGCATGGAGGAGTTCCGTCAGTCGCTGCGCATCATCCACCAGTGCCTCAACAAGATGCCCGCCGGCCCCGTCCGGGTCGAGGACTACAAGATCTCGCCCCCGCCGCGCGCGGCCATGAAGGAGAACATGGAGGCCCTCATCCACCACTTCCTGCTCTACACCAAGGGCTACGCCGTCCCGCCGGGGGACACCTACTCGGCCATCGAGGCCCCCAAGGGCGAGATGGGCGTCTACGTCGTCAGCGACGGCAGCGAAAGGCCCTACCGCGTCTCCATCAGGGCGCCCGGCTTCGCCCACCTTGCCGGCTTCGACCACGTCGCCAAGGGCCATCTGCTCGCCGATGCCGTGGCCGTCATCGGCACCATGGATCTTGTGTTTGGTAAGCATTTGCACCGTCCCCATTTCAGTTTCATTGTGAGATCAGAAGCGTGTGAAAATGAACGCAGTTGGTATTGTATTACTTTCTATTGCGATGATGGTATCATTTCAACTAACAAATCTCTCTTTTCTCCTCATTCCAGGCGAGGTTGACCGGTAGAGAGGAATATGAAATTCAAATCTTAAGTCATGCAGGAGTAGGGTGAAGTAGAGGATAAAGAACGGGGCCTGGTTTGGGCCATTCCGTCAGTGTAGTGATGGTCGCAATAAAAATGTTCATACTCTAAAACGTGGAAATTTAAAACGCAGTGCAGGTGGGCGGGGCGGTGTCGGAAAGCATCGATGAATGAATGGACTGGGGACCGGATTCTCGTCCCCCGTTCTGGGAGGGTACGGGGGATGAGGGCGTAGAAAGAGAGGGGTGGTTAGTTTTTTTTCCTTTGTCAGATGTGTGGTGTTGTATCATAATGAAGTCAAGGCAACGCGCAGGTCGAAAATGGCAAACAAGGATGTAAACGACGCAAATATCTCATACTCCCTCTTGAAAACTGTTTTTTTTTTTTGTTGTTTTGTCTTTTTGCTGCTGTAGTCGGGCTCTAGGATGGACTGTTCACAGGCCTAGTAGCTGATGTGTTAGATCAGGACTGAGCACTTGAGTGAAGTGAAATCTAAGAGCTGTGTGGAGAAAGAGGCAAGTTAGTTATAAGTTCACGATGGCTGGCGCTGACTAGCGAACTATGGCAGAATGGGGAGCAGGATGAATGAGGGTAGGGGACTGACCGATGATTCAGCAAGTCTGATCATGTTCATGGTAGTGGATATGAGTCCCTCGGCTCGAGGGTGGAGATGATGAGAAAAGCATGTTGGCGAAGCCGTGCCGTCCGTCTTCCCCGGAACTAGGCACTGATTAGAGACGACTGGTTTGTCGCTGCTACTGTGAATGCCGCAACCTCACTTGCAGTCTGCTGTTAGCAGCCACCTTGTTCGTTTTGTCGGGAGGCTTCCCCTTAGTCATAGAGCCGGGTGCGGGCGCCGGGCGGGGTGCTCTTCTTGAGCGCGCACTCGGAGAAGGCGGGCATGTGGCGGTGGGTGCCCTCGGGGCCGGCGCCGATGGGCAGCCCCGCGATGGGCTTGCACCTGGGCCTGCTGCCCAGCTTGCCCGTCTGGATGGCGGGCGCGCCGTCGGCGCCGATGGCGACGGCGCCCCTGGCGTAGTGCAGCGGCGGGAGCGTCGTGAGCGCGTTGACGTTGTAGACCTGGAGGCCACGCGAGCACGAGGCCTGCGGCTGCAGCTGGTTCTGCTGGGGGTCCGCGACGGCGGCGGCGGCGGCGGCGCTGGCGCGGAAGACGTCGTCCCGCGAGCTCGGGAAGATGGACGGGCCCCAGCACGTGTCGCCCTTGGGGCCGGGCAGGTACTGGTGGTTGGAGTCCGGGCCGGGCAGCGTGGTGGGCGGGGCGGGGAGCTCGGGCATGTCGTCCTGGACCGAGGTGGCTGCATCAACGGCGGCGACGCACTGGACTGTGTCGCTGAAGGTGACACGGCGGCGAGGGCTGACAGCGGGAGCAGCAGCAGCGCCGGTGGTGGCGGCGGCGGCGGCGGCGGCCGTCTTGCCGGCCTTGTCGTGCTTGACAGCGTTGTGGGTGCCGACGTCAGTGTTCTTCTTGTTGCCGGCGGCATCACCGTCCCTGGGGCTGCCGCCGTGGGAGTGCTCCGAGGAGGAGGACGAGTTCAGAGGCATGTCGATGCTCGAGGCGCGGCGCTGGCGGCGGCGTACATGGTAGAGGTGCGGCTCGCCCGCCTCCGAGGCCGAGGAGCCGCCGGCGGGGCTGGACGAGTTGAGCTCCTCATAGTCCTCGTCGAGGCAGGTCGCCGTGATGGAGCGCGTGATGTCGGCAGAGAGCGAGCGGCGGTTGGGGCGGCGGCTGGGGCACACGGGCGTGGCATAGTGGATGCGCGGCTGCTCCTCATCACTCTCCTCGTCCTCAACCTCTTGGACTTCTTGGACCTCTTGAACCTCTTGCTCGACCTGGACTTGCTCCTCATCCTCCTGCTCGCTGTGGTCATCAACCTGGGGCTGCGCATGGGCCTGGACATCTTGCTGCTGGACATCTTGTTGCTGGACATCTGTCTGCTGGGTCAGTAACATCTGAGGGGCGCCGCCGGTGTTGACATAGCCGCTGGGCTGGCAAGCGATCCGGTGGGCATGCTGCCACTCGAGGCAGTGATGCTGAGGCACCGAGGCGCCCTGCACCCACTCGGGCTTGTAGCGGTTGAAGTCGGCGTTGCAGTTGCACTCACCCTTGCGGTGCAGCTCGGCGTGGTCGTCGACCCACTCGGCAGCGAAGAGGCTGGAGAGGCGGACGGAGTAGGCCTCTTGGCCGTTGGGGCCGACGACACGCTCGAACATGGGCGGGGCCTTCTTGCTCTCGGCAGATGCGGCGGCGGTGGCCGGCTGCTGCTTTTGGTGGGCTCCATTGCCGCCGCCACCAGCACCCTGGGCCATGTTCTGGAAGACAGAGGCGCCGCCGATGACGCGTGGGCGGACCAGGTCCGGGAAGATGACTTCGCAGCCGCAGGCGCCACGCTCGTGGAGGAAGTGGTGCTCCCACTCCTGGATCAGGACGGCCCGGGAGTGCATCAGGCGCGAGCAGACGGGGCACATGGCGTCCACGAGGAAGGGCCTGTTGGGCTGGAGGTCACAGACCGGGTTCTTGTGCTCCGAGGTCGTCAGCGGGCAGGGCCGGAGCACGGCCATGGAGCAGTGGCCGCAGGCGTAGCCGATAAACTCTTGGAAGCACATTGTGGTGGTGGTAAGCAGAAAGTTGCAGTCGAAACAGTGAGTGAGTTGTTGAAAGACAGAAGGAGATGTTCCTTGGTTCTTGACGGTTGCTGAAGCTCTGACAGACGACGTACGGACAGTACTATTCTCGTGGCGATCCAGCAAGCTGAAAAGCGTTGAGCGAGTTGTCGGGGATGGTTGAGGTGGTGAAGGTCGCGGGCGATGGCAGGAATGTTGGAGCAGAGTGTGGTGGCGGGTATGCCTCCAGATGGTGATACTTAATACTCGAACCAAGAAATGGTTACTGGCAGATATCTCAATCAGGTTTTTCTTTTTCAGATTGGGGTTCGAACAGGCTGCGGGGATCTCTGAGATCCGCTTTGCAGATAGATTTGACCTTGTAGTTCTCTGGTCGCGGATCTGAGCGAGATGAAAGCAGCGTGAGCGGAGGTCGCCTTGCGATGGCTGGAACCTGCTTGTAGCGGTTGGGAGTAGGTTTGGCTGTGCAGCTCGCGAGTGAGAAGAGAGATTCTGGAGTGGAAGAAAGAGAGAGGAGGCGGGGTCGAGGCGAGCCGCTGAACGGTAGATAGGCCGGAAAGAGAGGAGCAAGACTGGCGCGAGGCAGCAATGCTTCGTCTCTGGTGGATGGTGATATCCAGTGGCGGTGGAGAGGTGCAGGTAGGAGGAAGAGGGAAAGAGAGGGATATGCCCAACGGGCCGTGGATAGTTGAAGAAGGGTGGTGATGCAGGAAGGAAGGTGGGTGAGGGGAGGAGGAGGATGGTGAGAGGGCGGGAGAGGTAGAGGTGGAAGGTTTAAATATTGCAATGCGAAGGGAAAGTTGTGGCCTCAATACACGAGAAGCTGGATGAATAGCTCCACTTTGAACAGAGGCGTTCTTTCCTCAATGAGATTTTGTGTGTATGGTGGCTATTTTGCCTTGCCTCTATTGTGGCCTATTGTGCAGAATAGAGACTGTGGGGAACACACGAGCACAATATGAGGAGCAAGGGCACCTTGAGGGCCACCAGGTCTGCAGGCTTCTTGCTTCGTCGAGTCCTGGAAGATACTTGACAATGGGAAGGCTGCCCATGGTTCATACATGTCACTCCATTGTGTGGGAGAATGCTAGAAAGCGAAGGCATACATATCCGTGGTCTGGACACGAGTGTTCCAAGATCAATAGGAGCATTCCTATTCACGCCTGCATGCTGCAGCCACCTGGATACTGTGATGGAACAACAAGATTATGACAGCATGAGAAAGCCATAGATGGACAGGCAGGACATCAGGTGAATTATAACTGAAATCAGAATTGGTACTGATATTTCCGGTTCTTGGCCTTTCCCCATCAATGAGATATTGGGGCGCAGAATGCTGCTGAACACTCCTACGGACCTCTTGACAATGAGAATGGTGGGGTCAAAGGAGGAAGATATGTGGAAGCTTGGACCACTCCGCCGGCCTAGCCAGGCAGATATCTTGCAAGTGCGCCCAAAGATCTCCGGGCGGGCATCAAAAGACTAGTGCCATGGGATGGATATTGGTACAGTATTAGACGCATACTCACATCTAGTCTACTCCTCAGCGTCACAGAATCTTGAACCTGTTGCCTGCAGCCTGGCGCATCAAAAAGTCCTTGAGCGGCCTCGAGGCGTTGACGGCTCCAAGACCGAGGGACCGCACCGCGACGGCGGGGGCCCACTCTATCGAGTAGAGCTTGTGGAGTTTGTCGCAGACGCCCAGCACGACGTGGTTGGCCGCGTACCGCTCCGACTCGTACGGCTCCAGGGCCAGGCGGCAGCCGAGGTCCTGACCGCGGCCCACGGCGGCCGACAGCGCGCGCGAGAGGCTCTCGACGTCGCCCTGGCCCGCGTTGAGGCCCTGGCCCGCGAGCGGGTGCACCGTGTGGGCGGCGTCGCCCACCAGCGCCCAGCGCTCGCCCACGTACGAGTCGGCGTGCCGCATGCGCAGCGGGAACGACGCCACCGTGCCCTCCTGCACCCCGACCGCGGGCAGCGGGACCGCGAGCGGGTTCTCGCGCTCGGCGGCCGTCATGGGCGCCGTGTGCTCCAGCCGCCAGGCCAGCTCGTCGGCCTGGCCCGCCGACAGCGTGTGCATGTACTCGATGTCCGTGGGGCTCAGGCGGAAGGCTGCGTTGACCATGGCGACGAAGTCGGCGGGGGCCAGCGACTTGAGCACCGCGGCCTTCTCGGGCGTCGTCGACCAGACAAGGGTGGCGTGGTTATCCGGCAACGGGAGAGCCGCGACGGGACCTGTGGGCAGGAAGCGCTGGTACGCCGTCTCGCGGCCGCCGTTGTGTGCTAGCATCATGGCCTTGACTCCCTGTGCGTCTCCCAGCTTCAGGGTAGCCACAACACCGTGGCGCTCGTAGTCCCAGCCGCGCGCCTCGGTGCCGGCAAAGGTCCGTACGGGGCTGTTTGCGCCATCGGCCCCGACCAGAAGGCGCGCCCACACCTGCTTCCCACCAGTCAGGCTGATGACGGGCCACTGCGACATGTCCATCTCGGATGTCCTCTCGCCGTAGCTGATGTCCTCCACACGGGCGCCATCAAAGACGGAAACACCACCAAGCTCCTCCAGGCGGCGGAGCAGAGCCGACGTCAGGTTCAGGTTCTCGACCATGTATGCGATCGTCTGACTGCTGCTGCCCACATCCCTACCATCCGCCCCGAACTCTCCTGACGTCCCTGGCGACGCTGTTGCGGCGCTGCTCCAGTCGAACTCGACCCGCGCGCCAGAGACGCCGTCCCAGACCTGCATCTCGTGGAAGGGCTGCACGCGCTCGCGCCGAAGATGCGACCACGCGCCAATGGAGTCGAGGAAGTTCGCAGAAGACGGTGTCAGAGAGCTGCAGCGGTTGGAGTACTGGCCGGGTGGCAGGTCCCATGCCCTTAGCTTCGAGAGGTCCTGCGCTTCCACCAGGGCCACACGCAGGCCGGCCGTGACGGGATTCGAGCCTGAGAATGTAAGGAATAGTAAGGATCAGCCGCGGATTTGAGTGTCAGGGCGGGGAGCAGCGGATGACGTACGGAGAGCAGTGAGCAAGCTCAGGCCCGCGGGGCCACCTCCCACGCAGACCACATCGTAGATGTCGGGCTTGGCCGAGCTCGCGTAAGATCTTGATGGCCGTTGCCAGGCGAGGCGGCTGCACCTGCGGCACAGGTGTCGCGCTGTGGATGCTGTTCTAAGCATCTGTGGCTGTGAGGAGGCTGTTTTGGCAGCGTCATGGAGGCTCTGCCTGAAGAAGCTTCATGCGACGTCGATCATCGATGTCCAAGTTCTATGCACCTCCCTGACATCCCCCACCGATCGCTGCAAGGGGTTCGGTGGGTCTGTGCGCCCAATCACATCACATGGGGTCCAGGAAACCCCCCCGCTCTATGAAAGACTCCCGTCAGGTGAAGAAAGCTTATCGCCTCTACAGTTCTGAGTAATACCTAGGCGGGCAGGCCCGAACACGCGGTTAAATAGAGTGAAAATAGGAGACAGTATCCGTTAAAGCATCTGACACGTCACGGACTGAACTGACCGTGGCCTTTGCTGTGGCAGTAGATTTCATGCGCGTTAAACAGAGCCGCCTCGGGCTTCCCAGTTGCCCCGGATTCCGAGAAGAATTCATCCCTTGTCTGTCATCTACTTGGACGGCCGTTTCAATCGGTCGGTCGGCCTTGCATGGTCAGAAAAGGTCGTGAAGTATGCACCGAACAGAAGCACCGATCAAATATGTCGGTCCTTTCCGCCCGGGAGTCTAGGGGTGTATATCTAGGTACCTATTTATCCATTTACTTGGGTATGTACGGTGCATTCGTACATACACATATGTATGGCTAGAGCTCCTAGGAAGCAACTAGATATGCATAAATGCTTGAGTTGGGGATCATGAGCTACGGCCACAAGCCTCGACTTGCACGAACCACGTCTCAAATACAAGGATGTACACACAAAGAAGTACGAAATACGATTGCGCTGCCCCGCGGCAGTAGTCTTGTCGATAATGTACAGCAAACGGTGAGGCTCGGTCATGGCGGCAACGTCTCGCAGCACTGTGCATATACCCTTCATCCCATGGGTGGCTAGTCGGCAGAGCCAGATCCGGCAGCAGAGCACGGTCGGGCTTCGGTGGCCTCAAACCTATAGAAAAACAGACTGATGTCCCGTTGTCGGCCAGAGAGCCGTTTCGACAACTCCGACCCGACATGTCCGTCGAGCGAGGGTGCTATATAATGTGCCTTTGAAGGACATCGACGCACGTTCTAGCTGCAGCAAGAGTATCGACATACTCGCTTCATTGACACCACAGCGCAGAGCGCAAGCGGGCTCGTTTCATAGAACAAAGAAAGGAAACAGAAACAGTCATCACCGCAACATGGGAGGATTCTTGAGCTCGGGCCAGCCAGCCCGCAACCCAACCGACGATGTGTTTCCAGTCTACGAACTGGATAGCTATAATGAGGTGACCCGTATGGTGGCCTGGACCATGCTCCGGTTCGACGAGGTCCTAGACCCCCTGATGCTCCGGGACTCACTGGCTCGCCTTGCGACGATTGGTGACTGGCGCAAGCTAGGTTCCAGAGTTCGCAAGAATGTGAGTAGCGATCTGCGAGCCCACTATTGCTTGATCCGAAAGGGCTCCGGGGCTAACAATCGGTTGAATGGTCCACAGGCCGCGGGGAAGCTCGAGTACCACATACCGAAGCAGTTCACCGAGGAGAGGCCCGCGATCGGCTTCACGCACCAAGCGCACGGCGTCCGGGTCGACGACCATGACCTGGGCCGCAAGCTGCCGCGGGCCACGCCGGGCAAGGCGTCGGTGCAGGCGGGCTCCGTCGCCTTCGAGAGCTTCGTGCCGCCGCCCGAGGCCCCTGGGACGCTCAAGGACTACACGCGCTCGGGCGCGCCGCTGCTCTGGTTGCACGTTGTGACCTTTGCCGACGCCACGCTCGTCACGCTCGGCTGGCCGCACATGGCCATGGACGGCGTGGCCCTGAGCCAGGTGCTGCAGGCCTGGGCCATCGTGCTGGCCGGCGGCGACGAGTTCGTGCCCCCGATGCTCTCGCTGCGCCACGATATCATGGGCACCCCGACGGCCAGGGACGGGCCGGCGGCCGAGATACCCAAGGAGTTCTTCATGGCCGGGCGCATGGTGACGAACGTCTTCCTGAGCTTCCTGTGCATCGTGTACATGGTGGTGAGCATCATGCTCGGCGACAGGATGGAGCCGCACATGGTGTGGGTGCCCAAGTCCACGCTCGCCAAGCTCAAGCAGGAGGCGCTGGCTGGACTGGAAGCGCACGACAACGGAACAGCTCCAGCTTCGTCGACGGGAACGGCCCAGTCGGGCTCATCTTCCAACAAAGAAACAGCGGGCAAGGGCAGTGTTGACGCGAAGCTGTTCCCGGGCGGCATCGTGGCCGACCAGGTGACGGGCAAGCCGTTCATCAGCGAGAACGACGCCCTGGTGGCCTTCTTCACGCGGGCGGCCATGTGTGGGCGGCCAAAGAGCTCGCGGCGGCCCGTCAACGTATACTCCGTCGTCGACGTGCGCAACAGGATCCCCACCGTTAACGCGAGCATCCCTGGCGCCGAGGCGAGCGTCTTCATGACCAACGTGGTCCTGAGCGTCCAGACGCTGCTGCCCGCGCGTGTGTTTTAGGGCGACCACGGCGGCCGCAAAAACACGTCCCCCTCGCCGTCTTCGTCGGCATCCTCATCAACCAAGCCGCCGGCGTCTTCTCTCGGGGTCATTGCCGCCTCGGTCCGCTCCCACGTAGCGGCTGGCACGACGGAACCGCAGCTGAGGGCGTGGGGGCTGCTGATGGTCAAGGCTGTATGGGACCGGCTGCCGGCGACGGCGGTCATGGCCGGGGCCCCGCGGGTAACGTCAATCATGTTTAGCAGTCTCGACGTCGGCACCATGTACGACTCGAACATGTTCGAGCCGGCGGTTGTGGAAAAGAGCGAGCGGCTAGAGAATGGCAACGAGGACAAGAAGGCTAGGGACGGCCGGTAGACGCAGGAGCTGAAGGGCTGCACACCAGTGGCCTTCTTGATGCCCAGGAACCGCTCGAGTTATCTCATGAGGAAGATCCAGATGTTCACCATTGGGAGAGGCAAGGGTGGTGCCTGGGTCCAAGGGTCCTTGCATCGTGATGTGTGGAAGGCGGTGGAGGAGGAGCTGGCTGAGATTGAACGGCGATGAGGGGCCTAATCTTCATGGTAGGATGAGACTGAAGGACTCTTTCGCATAGTGGTTCTGCCGTCTAGAAACACGAAATTGAGCTGTTGATGGTTGAGTGGCCATTCCTGGGCAATTTCTAGCGATAACATCTAATTCAAGTTAGGCGTTTTAGGGCGAAGCCAGACCCAAACCTCAGAAGCCCCACCACTGAATCTAGTAAATGGGGAGCTATGGAGCTCGGTGCCGAATTTCATCATCGCCTTATGTTCAAACCACCTCCAGCTGCAAAGCCGACGGCGGCCATCCATGAGCAAGCTCAATTTACACCCCCGTTCCTGGATTCGGTACCATCAATTTCATCGACTGTACTCATTCCATCTTCTTGGTCGGCTCGGGTAGCACCTTAAAACGCAACAGATTTGCGATGGAAGTGGGGACCATGATGCTCGAGTCGGGCAGTGACGAGGCCACAGCTGTCGATTTCAACCACCCCTTCACCCCATACGACGTACAGTTGGAATTCATGAGCACTGTATACAGTGTCTTGCAGCAAGGCGACGGCCAGGTCGCCGTCCTGGAGAGTCCAACGGGGACGGTGAGTGTCATCTGCCACTCTCGCTTCACCACGCGTCGCGCTAATCCTTGCTTGGCGCACAGGGTAAGTCTCTCTCGCTCATCTGCGCGTGCATGACATGGCTACGCCGGCATAAGAGAGCTCGCTTCGACCTGTCGCTGGGCGATGCCGCCACTCAGCTCAAGGACGAGCCCGACTGGGTCGTCGAGCAGGTCCTTCGCCGCAAAAGAGACGAGCTGGCTCAGCGATGGCAAGAGAGAGAAAGGCGGCTGCAGCAGATCCGCGAGAAGGAGAAGCTTGATGAGCAGCGTGCTGCCAAGAGACGCCGAATGCTCGATGACGACAGGCCCCTGCCTCGGCATAAGGGCCGCGCTGGTGACGAAGATGATGAAGAAGACGACGAGTTCCTGCTCGACTGGGATCGTGGCCAGGATTCAGCAGACCCCGAAGCTGCCAAATCTTGGCTGAGCAAGGAGACGAGGGATCTCTTGGAGAAAGCTGGAATGGGTCCGTCGAGAACGGGAATCGAGGAAGATGAGCTTGCCGAGGAGGAAGTCAAGATATTTTACACCTCCAGGACACATTCGCAGCTTTCACAATTCATATCAGAACTTCGCCGGCCGAATTTCCCACCATCCTTCCCCAACCCTTCGGCAGGGGCAGACCAAGGTCAGGCGGACGGTAGCCAGGCCGAGTGTGTCAAGCATATCCCTCTCTCGTCGCGGCAGCGGCTCTGTATCAATCCTGCCGTGGCTCGGCTTGGGAGCGTGTCCGCCATCAACGACCGCTGCGCCGAGCTGCAGACGCCCAAGTCTGGCTCCAAAGGAAACAAGTGTCCCTTTGTGCCCAACCAAGAGAACCTGGGCGAGACGCACGAGTTCCGCGACACGGCCCTGGCTACACTGCCCGATATCGAGGACGCGCACCGGCTCGGCAAGTCCCTGCGCGTCTGCCCGTACTACGCCACCCGCACCGCCATCCCCGGCGCCGAGATCATCACGTTGCCCTACCCGCTGCTTCTGCAGAGGAGCGCAAGAGAGGCGTTCGGTATCGACCTCAAGGGCAGCGTTGTCGTCATCGACGAGGCCCACAACATCATGGATGCCGTCGCTGGCGTCCACGCCGCCGAGGTTCGCCTGGGGGACCTGCGCAGGGCCCGGGAAATGCTGTCGGTATACGCCAAGCGCTTTGGCAAGAAGCTCAAGGGTGAGAATCGGATCATGGTCGGCCAGGTCGCGCGCGCGGTGCAGGGCCTGTCCGAGTGGCTGGAGCGGACTTTGGAGGCCAGGACAGAGCAGGGGATCGTTGACCCGCGCGTCCTACTCAAGACAAAAGGGATGGATCAGATGGACATGTTTGCGCTTGTTGGTTACATCCAAGAGTCCAAGCTTGCCTTTAAAATTGAGAGCTATGCCACGCGCCTTGACGAGAAAAAGGCAGAGGCTGCCGGAAAGCAGGCGACCACGCGCTCCTCGCCGGTTCTCCACAGCTTATCGGGGTTTCTCCTAGCCTTGACTAACCTCAGCTCCGAGGGGCGCATTTTCTTCGAGAGGCTACCTCCTGCGTCCCCTGCAGACAAGGCGGACATCAAGCTCTCGTATCTCCTCCTGTCCCCTACCCACGCATTCTCGTCCATCGCCTCCAGCGCGCGAGCCATTGTCCTGGCGGGCGGCACCATGTCCCCTTTCCAAGATTACGAGACGCACCTATTTCCCATGCACCCACCTGCCAAGATCACTACCCTCAGCTGCGGGCACGTTATACCGCCGTCTAACCTGTGCGTCTGGACCCTTTCCAGCATGCGGCCAGGTCCCGCCGCCGCCAAAGGCACGGGCAACGACGTATTTGACTTTAGCTTTCAGAAGCGCCGAGATAAGAACATGATCCAGCAGCTGGGTACCGCTATCCTGAACACATGCTCCGTGGTCCCAGACGGCGTGGTCGTCTTCTTTCCTAGCTACGGCTACCTCGATGAGGTCATTGCCTCCTGGAAGGAGAGGCCGAGCGGCCCGACCGGGCCGCCTCCGATCTGGGATCGGCTTCAGGCAAAGAAGGCCGTCTTCCGAGAATCCAAGGGCGGCTCGAGCGAGGAGGTGCTGCAGAACTACACCAGCGCCATTCTGGGGGGCGCCGAGGACGCCAAGGCGAGCGCAAAAAAGACTGAGCCGAACAACACCGCACAGAGCGGCGCGCTGCTCCTCAGCGTCGTCGGCGGCAAGATGTCGGAGGGCATCAACTTTTCGGACCGCCTTGGCCGCTGCGTCGTCATCGTCGGCCTGCCGTACCCCAACATCGCCTCGCCTGAGTGGAAGGCGCGCATGGAGTACATTGAGTCCTCCACGGTCGACAGGCTCCTCGGCAAGCAGCAGCAGCAGCAGCAGCAGCAGCAGAGCACTCAGGCCGCCGGCATGACGCGTGAACAGGCCGCGGCGGCGGGCAAGCAGGCGGCGCGCGAGTTCTACGAGAACGCGTGCATGCGCGCTGTCAACCAGAGCATCGGGCGCGCGATCCGGCACAGGGGCGACTACGCGGCTATCGTGCTGCTCGACAGCCGCTTCGGGGCTGACAGGATCCGGGGCAAGCTGCCGGGCTGGATCCGCGGCGGCATGCCGGCGCCGGGCGGGGCTGAGGAGAGGCGCGCGAGGGAGGGCGGGCTCCCTGGGCTCATGGGCGCGCTCAGCAAGTTCTTTCGCGAGAAGAGGGTTACGGAGCCGCTCTCGTGACGTGGCGAGGTGATCGTCTTGCTGAAAGAATTTATTGATGACCTTGGTAGAGGTCAGAGCCGGCCGCTGAAATGATGGAGTGTCGGACTGGCTTGGCTTTTTGTCGCTAACTTGATGGTAAGGCTGGCGAAACCCCACAAATGGGTCCCCGGTTTTGGGTCCGGCTTGGACCCAAAAACCCAAATGGGGACCCGTTTACGGATCCTTAGCATTTGGGGCTTGCCACATGCAAGTTGATCCACGGTCGTGTTGAAACGGGAAAGAATATCAAGGAGAATAGACTGCACCGAGCAGAGTACATGGTACAGAGGAAAGCAGTGTTGAGATGACAAATGTTACCTGCTTTTGGCTAGTGACTAAGGAGCACGAGCTATACCAGGCTGCCCACTACGTATATAAGGCCATGCCTTTCCCACCTCTCCCATCTCACTCAGGACAGAAGATAAGCAACGCAGGGAATCTTGAATCATACCCAGAATATTTCAACAAACGCAAGCCGAAGTTAGCCCGTCGGGGGCTCATGGAAATGACATCGAACTCAACTCAGTCCTGACCTGCAGCTCTTCGTCCAGCTCGGCGCGCACCACCAATCTTCTTTGGACAACCTGGTTGGGCCAAGGCTGGTGTTCGGTCAGGTAGGCTATTCCATCTACCCCTTGGGCCTTGCTGTGCATGCCCTGAACCCTCTCGAGGAGAGCTCTGGGTCGAATCCGGTCGAGCTGTGGTGGCGACGGCACTACCAGCATGTGGTCGTATACCAGATCCAGGAGCTCGTGGAGGTACTGCGTGCAGCATGGGTTTTTGTGCATTTTTTCAATCCACTACTTAATTATGTCAGTTATCGATAAAAAGACGAGGTGACGTTAAAGCTGGGGGATACAAAGCGTTTTTGAGAATAGAGGCTTGTCCACGGACCTGAACGACCATATCATTAACCCTGAAGCCATAACGCCCTTCGTGGTCTTGGGGCATGATTTCGTAAAACTGATCGGTTCCCACCCGGAACAGGTCGTAATGGAGCCGGTCCTGGGCAAATTCTTCACGCCTATCCTGGCCGCTTTTCTTGCCATCACCCAGCATCCAGCAGACCATTTCGAGGAAGATGCAGCCCAAAGTCCAGATATCCCACAGGCGGCTATTAATATCTCCCTTCATATCGTACTCGGGAGGGGCCCATTTGCTGTAGCTCTGGACATCTGCCAGCCTGAAGTCGGTGATAACGAGCTTGCCAAGCGCCTTGTCTTCCGGCGAGACCAGACCGTGCCTCCACACGGCGCGGAGGGCATTGGGTGCCGACGACTCTCTGCCGCCGCCGCCGTCGTCGGGCGGGGGGAAGTAGAGAATGTCCTCGGGCTTGAGGCCCCCGTGGCGCCCAAACCGCTGCGCATCCTGCTCGCCTAGGGAGGACCTGGGAGGGTTGTGCAGGATATGTATGGCCTCCGCGAGCCCTAGGACCTGGGCCGAGGCCCAGAGAGCGAACTCGGGCGTTTTGCGCGGGGATTTGAGGCTTTTCCAGTGCTGGTCCAGATTGCACTCTGCATAAGGGAAGATGAAGCAGTATTGGTCCTTGTGCTCAAAGGTCGCCAGGAACGTAACGAGGTGCTCGTGGCTGCGGCTGCTGCACCGTTTCAGGATTTGGATTTCCTTTTTGTACCTGTCCGCGTCGGCTTTTCTGATGGGTATGACGGCAAAACGATTGTTAGGGAGCGAAAGCTGTAAAATAGCGACGAATTTTAGTTAAGCTTTATGAAAAGCGGATTGCAAAAAAAAAAACCGCTGGCAAAAAGCGTACCCGTCTTAGTTGGGCGTGGAAGCCGTGGGAGTCTGGGTCGATAATAACAGGCTCGACCATTCCGAAGCCGCCGGCGGGCTCGAAAGCACCGAGACCTCCCGGGCGGCCCCACCCCGAATACTGCCCGTCATTTGCGTGGCTCGTCAACCACCTGTCCTTGTCCGTCATTGGTATTGGTCTCCAAGGCAGCTGGGCCTCAACAGGCAGACAGTAGTGCTTCGGGGTGCCGTCTTCCTCGCAGGCAAAAAAGGGGGTCAAAAAGAACCACTGCCGGGTCCTGAGCCATTTTATATCCGTGTACCTAAGCCATTGCCGTGACTCGAGATCGCGCGGTTTGGTGGCCTCCACGAGATGCAGCTCGTATTGACAACGCTTGGTCTGCAAGGGTAGCTTGGCGTCCGAGCAGCCTTGCTGGATAAAATATTCAATAAGGGCGCCGCGATCGATTTCGAGCAGCAGCGCAAACACGATCAAGTATCCCGGGGGCGACCTCGAGCTGCCGCTTGGGGGGCTGGGCGCGTCCGCACACCAGCGCGTAGCGTTGCTGGTTAGCCCATCTGGCACTATTTCGGCACAGAGCTGCGTGATTCGTTTGTCCTCGGTGAACCCGCAGTTCTTACGCAGCGCGGCCCGGATCCTCTCCGGCGTCATGACGCGCCGAAGCACCGCGAAAGGGAGGTACCCATCAGTGTCTTCTTCATAGGACGGAATGCGGTGTTGCTGGATGATCGCGACTAGGCTATTGTCGAAGTCATCGTCGTCACTATGGTAGTCCGGATCCAAATCTTTAACTGTGCTTCTGGATCCCGCTGTGCTCTGCTCATCCGTAGGAATGCTGGCTTCACTCATGTCGCCCGTAATGCCATCGTCTCTAGCGCTGAACACGTCTTTCAGTCGAACCGTCAAGAGGCCCAGACGCTGGAGGTGCTCTGCTATGTGGCTCGATAGGTCACTGTTGATATTGAGGTGCTTTATGCTGTCAAATTCATCCTGTGTCTCGGTTGGAGCCTGCTTGACATCCGCGGCCCAATTGACCTTCTTCGCAGTCGGCGCCACGGGCAAGTTGGCGTCAGAGCTCTCATCCTTGTCTTTCACGGCTAACTGGGCGTCCCGTCCATGTTTGCCATAATGCAAGGTTCGGTAGCAAAATGGGCAAACGACTGGTGGTCTGTTCGCCGCGACACTCTGATCCAGCCGCTTCAGCCCATCATCATCGAGGTGTGCAGTCTTGTAGTGGCCCCTTAGATGACTCAATGTCGCAAAATACGGGGTAGCACCATGGTCTTGACTCGCAAAATCGCACTTCCAGACGGGAGAGTCGGGGATCATTAGGGCCCAGTCGTCGCCATGCTCAGACGACATGTGCTGGGCCCAGCTGCCGGAGGTTGAGAAAACCTTGGGCCCCAGGCAAAAGTCGAAGAGACATATGTAGGGGAGTATATCATTATTAGTGTGATTTCTACGAGAAGGTCAGCCGCGAGTCTCGGATTCATGAGTGCTCAAGGAATCACTTACTTCCACCAGGTCTCGTCTTGGTATTCCTCTGCTGAATGGACCTTATGACAGTACCGGCATGTACTGCCGCCCTCTTTCGGTGCTCGCGGAAACTTGACCATGGTTTTCAGAACAGTCGCGGCTGCCCCGTGCTTTGTCTCCTTGATATGGCCTTCTTTTCCCTTTCTTATGGGAGGTGGGTGGTTAGACGGCAGACTAGTGGCTTCAGTCATGCTGGGAGCTGCTGGGGCCGGCCTTTGACAGCTCTCTTTGGGTAAATTGTCGTCTGAGGGCACCGGGGCATGTCTGGTCTCTATAGGCTGCGTTTCGGGGAGTATTGAGTCATGATGACGAGGACCTCCCCGGTTGCCTTCGAGTTTTTCCTTGTGAGATTTCCAGTACAACAACCTCATGTAGGTGTCCACCATATTCTTGCTCAGCCGCTGGTGGAGACTGGTTGCTGCTTCTGGATACAGTCTCTGGACGGCAACTAAGGCGAGAATCTCGAAATCATTCTGCTGGTCGATCCTCTTCGCGGCAAAGGCTTTCACCTTGGACTCGAGGCGCGAGGTGGAATGGCGACGGATTGAGATCCCTAGGCTATTGAGTTGCGCGACAGACTCCTCGATCCCCTCGAAGGCGACGCCGCGAGGGTCCGAGTCGTCAGATAAGTCGCTGTCGCCGCTGTCGCCGCTGTCGACGGACCTCGCGTCCAGGGGAAGCACTATTATGGACGCATCAGCGGATCTGCAAGCATAAGTCAGGAAAGCTGTGCTCAAGAAAGCTGTGCACTGACACTGTAGTAGGTTCACTCTGAGCATGTCCAGCGCGAGCAAGAACAGATCCCTATAGTTGCTGTTGCGGCGCAGCCTCCAGTCAAGGCTCGCCTTCCCGGCGGCAAAGACGCCGACATATTGAGCCCAAGCCCAGAAGAGGCGGTGGTACTCTTTAATGAGTCGTCCGGACTGGGCTGGTTCAGTGGTAGCCTCGCTTTCAAGAACTTTCTCGAATTGCCGCCCGCAATCGACAGCGAGCTCGAATATCGGCTCATCAGACGCGTCGGGGTGCTGACTGGCGGGGAGAGCTTCATCAGCACCTCCCATTATTCTCAACAGCGCTTGCTAGGGACTAGGCACCCCTAGACGAGACGCATGGATTCCTGGAGGTTTTGGGGCCGCGTTAAGGAGATCGAAGTTGGTTTAATGGTGTCCGAAAGACTGTATGCACCCCGCTACACGGAGAGGATCGGCTCGTCGGGCATGGAGGTTCAAGCCTGCAAATATCACGTGTAGTGGCGGGGCTTGAACTATGGTCAAGGTGTGGCATCTGCCAGTGGTTGACCACCCTGGCGGATTTTCGTGGTCTCAGCAGGTTTGTGTGACACCCTCTTTCGGCTTTCGGAATGCACTCCCGCCCAGTCAAACAAGAGTCCAAGCTGGCAGAGCTCTCGTTGGCAGCACTGCTTCTGAAGGTTGACAGCTTTGGCAATGGATTGGCCGTTAGGGTGCCAGCGGAGACGCCGTGTCTTTGGCTTGGCGAAAAGCAAGTGTCGGTTTGACTGGATGATGCCGGCATGATTGCGTCTGGCGTCGCTTATGCGGGGCACGACACACCATTCTCTGTAATAGCGATGCAATCAATTCAGCACACTGGTGATGCACTTCGCTTGCCCCCTACCAGCTAACTACCCACCCATCCAGCCCTATGGCTTGTGGGAAGCTCGTCGGCGCCCTCAGCTTGAAGTAGATTCCCGCCTAGCCTCTATCAACAATCTGCTGGTCTGTCGCTGCTGGGGGTGTTTGCATTCTTTTACGTTCTCCCGTATTCCTTCTTTGTCTGTTTGTAATCTTCGGCCTTCTACATCATTTTTTGAGTCTGTTCATTCACCATCCTCCTGACCGCTCTAAACCTGACTTGCTAATTCCGTCGCTGCGACGGTTGGGCAGTTTGTGGGACAGACGCAGCACAGAACAAAGCAAATTTCTCGATCATATTGCATTGGAAGGAAACTCTCTTTCTGGGAGATGCCCGAACCAACCTACCACGTCTGCCCCGACTTCCGCATCCCACCTCCGCCAGACGGGCACCTGATGCTCGGCACAATCTTGAAATCACTCGATGAAAATGGAGTGCACGACCCGCTCAACAAAGGCCGGGAAATAGCGGTCCATCCCGAGGAGCTTCGTCCCAAGGCCGCGCCGTTCGCCCAGCGGGGCTTCACTCGCAGCCTGACCGAGCTCCAGTCGACGGAGGGGGGCATTTGGGCCAAGATTTTTGGCCTAGGCAGCTTGTCGGCCAATTTCAGCAGGACGCGAGGCATGGGAAAGTTCCTCACTGTGAAAGAGCTTCTCAGCCGTGAATTCTTGCCCGACGACGAATACATGCACCAATCGCTTAGCATCCCGAAGGTGAACGTGTACGTTACCACCAGGAAGCTGAAAGTGCCGGTATACATGATCACGGGGATCATGGTCGCGACTGGCGCCAGCTGGTCAGACACCGCGACAAAGGCCGGGGGTGCGCGCGCTAAAGACGGCGTGGCTGTACTGGGGACGCAGATGGAATTCGGCGGAGCGATGGGGCATACAAAGGGAAAAGCAAGTGTAACCGGGGTGGAAGACTCGGACGACTTCGTGCTGGGAATTCGCGTGCGCAAGATCTGGTGGGACGAAGGCATTCGTCAGGTGTCTGACCAGGTCGTGGGGCGTGCTTTGGACTCGCAAAAGAGAGAAGTTCGCATCAGCGAGCGTGATGCCGGTATGCGGGTGGTTGATGACTTTGGGCTGGGTGATAACGAGCAGGATGCCGATGCGAGTGACGAGAGATTCGTCGATGACGGTACCCTAACGGGCATGGAGCCGACCGTGTGGATTTTGCCCCAGGCTTAAAAATTGGGGACTGGGATTGCGGGATCAAAACGGGTGGGCGGGTGCAAGCAGACTCGATCGGTGGCAGGCAGGGCAGGCGAAAGGTTGAATCGTGGGAGAGACCATGGTTCGGACCGAGCCTAATTCAACGACGGAGACCATTTCGAGAAACCTTTTTAGGACCCCATAAGTGGTGGAAGCCGAAAAGAAGGATTAAGGCAATTGTTGCATCACACCGTCCTCCATTCCTGGAAGCGAGGTTGCCGACTTCATTGCCGCTCCGACGGAGGCCAGGTGATGCTGACGCATACATCGTGAAGTTCCCTTCGAGTAATGAAATGTTTCCAAAATTTTGCTGTGCCTCGGGGTTGCCGTGGCTCTCCAGGAGCCCCGCCGACATCTGCCAAAAAGGAGCCCCAAGTGAACTTGGTCGGGGTTTTAGGGCCCCAACGGGAGACAATGCTGCGTGTACAAGGGGACGCCACGCCATGCCATCGACCCCTTGCCCCCTGAAAGAACTGCGGGCGCGTGTTGTCTTTCAGCGTGCGGGGGCTTTGGCGTGACCTTGTTCTGGGCGGGCTGCTACTGTTGCACGTGTGGAATACCCCGCGCGGCCATGTTCAGCTTGAAGCGACTTTTTTTTTTTTTTTTGCCAGAGCGGGCTTTGCAGAAGATCGCTAATCGGTCTCTCTCGAGTTCGACCTAATTTGTGTGTGGGTTCGACAGAAGGAGCCTTCGCCACCGTCTGTGGTGATTTTCGTTCCCAAGGTGCACTAAATTTCAGGCTTCAAAGGCAAGCAGATGCTGGAATTCTAACTCACAGTATAGTCTGCTGTTCGTTGACGTCACGATAGCTGCTTTTATCAATGGAATCGACGGAAGTGAATTGGCTTCGCGACAGCATCGAGTTTCGCCTGGTCAGCGAGCTTTGCCATCAGTGCTGCAATCGCCTCGCACCCCCTACGTCCGGCAAAGCAAAGGGGACCTCCAGACGGCAAAATAAAGCATGGGCGCTTGGTATCGAGCTACGGAAAACCCTCAGGCGTCCATCAGATCTCGACCTCCTTCTTGGTCTGGACCCGACGGACGACGACGAAGATATCAGGGAGGCCCAGGGGGTGCTGGAGCTGCTCTGTGCTGCCATTAACAATATTTCGGAGCCCATCCAGAACCCGACTTCAGCTCCACAGCAGGGGCAGAAATTGAAATACGAACGGTTTGAGAACCTTCTACAGCGACTGAAGACTTCGGACACTAGGCAACAAATCGAAGTCATATCTGGTCCCAGCCTCACCCCCTATCGACGATTGTTCGTTTCGCCACAGGCAGGCAACAGCGAGAGCGTGACGAAGGCGCTGAAAGAGCTGAACGAAATCTTGGATTATGTTGCGGAACCGAATGCCAACCTGACCGATATACCGGGTGCCGCGGCGACGGAAGCAAATCTTGCGACGAGTTGGACGGAGACACCTCCCCAGCCGCTTCCCCAAGGCCTAGTGAGGAATGGAGTCCAAAGATGCTTTAGACACGCGGAGGTCGCCATCAAAGCAATCTGCTCGAAGTTGTCAAAGTGCGAATACAGGGCGACGAAGGCCCACGACATCCTGATACAGCTGCCGGCGGTCGAACACATCACGTCGCCAAACGGCCGCTCTCCGGGGTTGGAGCTGGAGCTGTTCCTTTCAGTCTGTCCGGACTCATCTGGCTGGCAGGAGGCCAAGGTCATTCGCCAAAGGTGTGTGCTTCAGAGTAAGACTTCCACAAGAAAGGGTAAGATAACTAATACGCTGCTGATAAATAGCAGCAAACATGGTTCCTCCTATTCGTCGATATGCAGCGCAGTTCAGGAGGCGCTTGCCTTGGGGGCCAGTCTAAATTTATATATCCAGGACCAACTGACCGGAATCGTCGAAAACGACTTCCAAATCCCCTCGGTCGAGCCCATGGACTGCGGAAAATCGAAGCCAAAGAAATCAAGAACGCTGCATAAGATGCTCTGCTCCAAGACTCTCAGACGGCACTCTTCTATCAGCAGCTTCCGAATTTCCGCCACCGTTCACATTGTCAGCGCGGACGAGCGAAAAACCCTCGCAGTCCAGGTCATCTTCGGCCTTGTGATGTGTTTGCGCTACGGCTGTATCGCGGCGACATGGGACTCTAAGAAGGTTTACATCCTCGCGGCCGAAGATGAACACCAGCAATTGGCAGCCTTTCCCCATGTCCTTTGTGTCGAGGGCGACCCCAGAACAATGTGGTTTAACCTTCCGGGCCCGAAAGAGCCTCTAAACACAACATCGGCGCCCAAGGCCTTCAAAGGAATGGCCAAGGCGCTGTTGGAGATCGGCTTTGGAGAGTGCCTGGACGACTATAGTGAGGAAGACATCTGGAAGATTGTCAACAACATGACAGGGGGGCAAGGTGTGCGCGGGAGCACAAACAACAGCCAGGTGGACACAATCGACCTCATCCCCTACGCAGCAGCAGCAAAGAGCTGTCTCCTGTTCTCTCTCCTGTACCGAAAGGAGGTGAATAGGATGAGCATGAGCGGGGGGAGCGTGGATCCCTGGGCGATCGTGGAAGAGATCGTGTATAGGGAGATCATCGCCAAGCTCGACAATAACTGCGTCAGAGACGCCCCTATCGGCAGCATGGGCAGCGTCCTCGAGGCCCGGAGCCGAGCTCAGGAAACTTTAGTGGCCAAAATACACACCAGAGCCTGCATCGATGTCGCTCGGCGTATTGTCGTGGACATGCAGCCTACGCAGCAACCCGTGGTGAGATTATTTGACGGCTCTAAGCTAGGTGGAAAGATCGGTGGAGAGAATGAGTAAGGGATCATCTCGTCTATAACACACACGCATATCCAGCGCCCAACTGCTGACGGGATCTTCAAAATGAGCAGCCAAGGAAATAGTTTCTTCCTCAAGCTCGACAACTTTAGGGCGAAGTTCGAGCATTACCTGAGCGAAAGGAGCAACAGCATTACATCACCAAGACCTGTTCGCGTAGCCATTCTGGACACCGGTATCGACATGAACAATGCCGGGATCGACTTTGATGGCACGCACATGAAAAAAGATTGGTGTATCAACTTTGTTCACGACCTCCTCAACCCCAGCGCCCCCCTCGACACCAGCGCCTTCCATGATCGTGACGGGCACGGCACTCACTGCGCCTCACTTCTGCGCAAAGTTGCGCCCGACGCCGAGATCTATGTGGCAAAGGTATTCGATAAGAATCAGTTCGATTTGACACAGGCAGGCAATATTTCCGAGGTAAGCAAAAGCATTGATAACCCTGCAAAATATCGCTTTTCGCTTCTTTCCTACTGCCGTGCGCTCCATGTTTTGTGACTGGCTTGGAGGTAGACAGCCGAAGTAAAATAGACCACTCACATTAACTTAATGCAGGCAATCAAGCACTGTGTGACAACCTGGAATGTCGACGTCATCTCCATGTCCTTCGGGCTGGAGCCTCCGGGGTCTTGCGCATCCATGGACAAATGGAGGAGAATCAAGAAGAACATTGAAGATGAGATTTCGAGAGAAAGGACCAGACTGTTCTTCGCGGCGGCATCGAACGACGGTAAGAACAAGGCGCGGGCATTCCCGTCCACGCACCGCGACGTATTTTGCATCCACGCCTCGGACAGCGACGGCAAAAGCTGCGGCATCAATCCCCGCGCCGAAAAGGACAACGACAATCTCATGACGCTGGGCACTGGAATCTGCCTTCTTGAGGACGACGACTACGTCATCAAGGAGGGGACATCGTTCGCCACGGCGATAGCGGCCGGGATGGCTGCTAGCATCATGCATCTGACCTCGCGGACGTCGAGGCTGGAGGGGCGGTCGCGGGCGGCGCTCCGAGCCAGAGCAGGTATGCAAAAGCTGCTGATGAATATGGCGGGGCCGGACAAGAACGAGCTCTGTCCGTACGTGGCCCCATGGCGGTACTGGAAGGAGGAGTATTGGGGTTCAAATCCGCACGGGCTCGAGAAGATCTGGTGTGAGCTGAACACCGAGTTCAATGACTTCAGCTGATCTTGAGCCGGGTGATAATGGCCGACGTGCAGGCGCCGTCTGGAATCTGGAGATTTTGGTAGAGTCTGCAGTGGTTCTTGGGGCTACAGGGCCTGAAAACCCATAAGCTACAAACACCGCCAGAGCGCAGCCCGGGCCAGCCAAGCTGAAGCGTCAAAGACATAGAAGATGAAGGGAATAAATAAAAACAAGAGCACAAAAATGCCTTCAGATAGACAGCGAGGTGCCTCTGTAGTACCACAAAATAGCAAAGGCGAGAGAGATTGCGACGGGAAAGACGGATAGTCAACAAGTAGTGTCCAACGAAGTTGTCGAGTCCCTCCTCTCGTTTCCGGCCTGGGTCTCCTTGTCAGGCGGGGCGGGTACCGCCTCGGTCTTGACGCAGTACCGGTCCAGGACGCGGGTGGCGACGGGGATGCAGCGGCCGCTGAGGAGGGCGGCGCCGTGGCCCTCGCCGGGGAGCCAGATGAGCTCGAGCGGGCACGAGCCGGTCCACCACTTCTCGCTCGACGTGAGGGAGGCCAGGTCGGCGGGCGTGCACTCGGCCGAGTCGTACTCGACGTAGCTGGCCACGGCGGGGGCATTAACGACGCAGTCGTTCTCGCCCAGTATCACCGTCGTGCGCCGCA